AACTTTATTTCTAAAAGAATAAGATTGAAACCCATTTAAAGGATGTTGACAGTTTGGAGTAGTTTGACATGCTAGTGCCTGTAACAATGCCTATCCTGATGAATATATTACCGTTAATTAAAAATGAACTGCTTTGTTTAAATGGTTATACGTCACATTTTTATCCATCTGCTCAGCCTATTTGAACAACAGAACCAAGAATTTCTAATTACTAACTTTTTAACTAAAAATCGCGGTTAACTCACATTAAAATACTGAGAGACTAGTTTCGAGCCACAGAAGGGCTCTTCCTCGTGAGCAGCGTGTGCAGTCGCGGCGATGTCGCATAGCCTACTGGCTACGGCTCGAAATCAGTAGAGCTTTTCTCAGTATGTCTCACGATAGTTATTATACATGTTTTATGACCAAAATTAATTATAAATGGCTCACCTGACTTCCGGATTTGTTGTGACAATTAATTTATTGACTTTTTAGTATATTACAATTTGACTGCATTATCTGATACATAATTTCTTCTTAATGACATCTTAATTTTATTGACATTTCTAATTTATTTTCTGACTTTACCTGTTTTAATTTATTTGAATTGTTTCCAATATAATAATAAAACTAATTTTAATATAATTGTTCTTTAATTAGAAATTAATACTTTTAAAATTAAAATACAATTTTATATTTCTACACCGGTAACGGTAGTATGTGTGGAACTTTGTTAATTTTAAGATCTGTGTGCACCATGTACTGAGAAATAAATGACATTCATTCATTCATAATACATACTAAATTTTTATTCTACTCCTTAGCAACTCTCCCACCATGGCGGTTCAGTGGCGACGGCATGTTATCATTCAACCCTCTCCTGCGGCCGATACAGCTCCCCTGGCTCAACGCGCTGTCTCTCCGAACTAGGCAACAGGACGCATTCCTCATGTCCATACAGGTTGGACAGAACAGCACTATACTGATTACTGTGAGTATTTTTCCAGCAAATTTATAAGAAACTAGCTTTTACCCGCGGTTTCGCTCGCGTCACAAAAGGATAAAAAGCCAATGTGACATATACCAATACACAAAGCGTCATCTATACCAATACTTTGGTTTTCCCTCGGGAATATAAAATTTTTCCGGGTTTAAAAGTATCTACCCTGTTATTTAATCCGGACTTCTAACTTTAAGTCTGCAAAAAGTCAAAGCAATCGGTTTAGTAGTTACGGCGTGAAAGAGGAACAAACAAACAAACTCACTTTCCGATTTATAATATTAGTAAGGATAAGTATGCTGTTTGACGCTAACAAAACGTGACGTCACAATACACAATCTCGTACAAAATTCATAGAAAACTGTCGTTTTTGACAGATCGAAAAAAGTATTGAATTTGACTAGTTGGCAAGTACCGAATTGTAATTAAATTGGTAATAATATCAATTAATGAAAGTGTGATTATTTTTAAATATAAGTATTATTTGTTGTATTGAACAGTCGAAATAATTTATTTTTGCAACGAACGTTTGTACCTTATTAATAAAGCTTGCATTATCAGTATTAATAAAATTATTCTGGAATAAACCTAACCACCTCATCCACAGCTAAAATCCGGCCACCTCCATTACTCATACAACGGCGAATCAATGTTCCTACCAACCACTATTCTATCGGACGGCGCCTGGCACCGCATCGACATCAAATGGCTCGGTACCGATATCTCAGTCACCGTCGACTATGGACTCAGAACTGTACTCCTCCCAATGCTAGCCAATAAGATCCAAGGACAGTATATTGGGAAGATCCTGATTGGTGGACCGGATAGCACGGCGGGGTTACTAGCGTCTGAGGTTGGGTACTTTGAAGGATGTATTCAGGTTTGTATTTTGTTCTAAAATGTATTTTTCTTAAATGGATCGAAAGTAGCAATTTTTAGTTCCAAATTATCATTGCAATAAGAAGCTAAAATGCATAACATGTGCGATTTTGAACCTTCCCTTTCGTCCATTACAGCTACAAAATTTTAACATAACATAACATAACATCACGCCTTTTTATCCCCGAAGGGGTAGGCACATTTCGGCACTTAATGCCACTGTGCAATGTAACACCCACTTTTCACTATTTATGTTATGAGTCCCATGTAATAGGGGGTGAGCCTATTGCCATATACCAGGCACATTTTTCCAGACTCCGTGGTACTACTGAGATTTTTAAAAACCCAGTAATACTTTGCCCGACCCGGGAATCGAACCCGAGACCCCTTGCCCGGCAGTCGCAATTGCGACCACTCGGCCAATGAGCGAGTCATTTAGACAGACAACATTTTAAGTTCATTAAAAACCTACATTTTTATAGGATGTAAGAGTGGGAACAGCGCAGTCTCTTCTCAATCGACCAACAGTGAGAGAAAATGTGAGGGACGGGTGTCAATCACGAGCTGACTGTATGCTGTCCATCTGTCCACCCTATGTAAGTTATTCTACCACACAGATAATTTTAAGGGGTTCTCGAATGGAGACCACTTAACTATAAGCACCTAGCAGGCCGTCCACTACGAGGTGGAAAGATGACCTAATAATGTTTGCAGGGGCCTCATATATGCAATTTGCTTATGCCAACCGGCTTATCTGGAAGTCATTGAGGGAGGCCCCCTATATACTCTTTGGGGACGCCAATATTCAGCAATTGATGTCTTATGGCGGATATACTGATGATGACAACTAATAAATGTAATTATGTAAACCTTAAAAAAAGTAAAAAATCAGTCTATAATATAACCTTTTTCCAAGAAAAGCACATCGATCACCTGATAGTATGCAATCGACGTCGCCCATAGACACCCAGAACACCAGAGGCGTTACAAGAGCGTTATCGGCCTTTTGGGGATTAGGAATAGGAGCATTGTTGGGGATTCAGATATTGGGGAAATTGGGGAGGGGAAGACGGTAATTGGGACTTCGATAACCTCACTCACACGACGAAACACAACGCAAGCGTTGCTTCACGTCGGTTTTCTGTGAGGCCGTGGTATCACTCCGGTCGAGCCGGCCAATTCATGCGGAAACATAGCGAGAACCATGTGGGAGTCCACACTTCATCTTTACCAACGACGTTGAAAAAAAAAGATCTTTACCTTCCCCAGAGTACGTGCGTGTCGTCCTGGGACAGTACGGAGTGCGCGTGCGCCGCGGGCCGCGTGGGCGCGCACTGCGTGCCGGCCTGCGACCTGCGCCCGTGCGGGCCGCGCGCACACTGTCGCACGGACGACACTGCCAAGGGATATTCTTGTACTTGCGAGGACGGGTATATGATGACTTGTGAGTATTATGACTATTAAGTCTTTCTTATCCCTGCTTACTTTATTCCACTTCGATCATATAGGTTACTTAATCACCTGCTACTTTCATCTCTGCACTACTTAAAGGTTGATTTTGAGACAATGCCCAAGGCATTAAGTCCACCTGTACACACGTGTTGTATTAAGTTGAATTAAATAAAATAAAATCATATTATCATAGATTAATAGTAATTTTCATGGCAAAGAGAAAAATACAGTCACAATATCTACTTATCATATCGATAAAAACGCTTTAGTTTTGTTACAATTTGTCGTGTACTTACTATTCTTTGCCACATTTGTTGTAGGAACATTCTGTATTATTTAATTTGGGCCACTGATCTCAACGAGTTCATTTTGTGTCAGCGTCTGGGTGCGTGGAGGCGGGCGTGGAGCAGTGCCCGGGCGGGTGGTGGGGGGGCGTGGCGGGCGCGTGCGGCCCGTGCGCCTGCGCCGGCCGCGGGTACCATCCGCACTGCCACGCCACCACCGGGGAGTGTCACTGCAAGGTAACTGCGGTATACACGTTTTAAGTGAATCAATTTGAAGAATTATTAAATTTTCACGATTCGGGCCTTTCTCATACAATTTCCAAATATTTTTTGTGATTGTATGTTATCATCGTAATACTAATCCCTCTCTTCTCCAACTTATTAGGAGAACCACTACAAGCCCGAAGGTTCAGAAGACTGTTTACCCTGCCAGTGCTACGCGGCGGGGTCAGTGAACTCTTCATGTGAAGTACTGACTGGACAGTGTTACTGCCGCGCCGGGGTCATTGGCCGCGCCTGCGACTCTTGCGCTAATCTATACGCTGAGGTTGCACCTAATACTGGCTGTGAAGGTAATTACACAAGTGATTTTAGATGAACGATTTGAAGAAACTACTTTAAAAAAATAATAAATTATGTTATACGTACTTAACTGATACTAATTTCACGCCTCGCCAGGTTCTCATAGAACTTTAATAACTATTAAATACAGCCTACCTTTGTCGCTACGCCTAATAAAACTTACTTAACACATACGATGCCGTGACGGACAATGATGTCTGACACTAGCAGAGGCTTGGCCTTTAACAGTTTTTGTCGGCAGTTAAAGGCTTGAGTACCTTAAGTTATTATAATATTAATTTTCAGAAGGAACTGTACAGTTTTAGTAAAATCAACCTATTTTAATCAATTGTAAAGGTTATAACAGAAACGCCAGATTTAAATTTTTGATACAATCTCTACATTTCATTTGTTCTCTACAGTTGTGTACGATGGATGTCCTCGCTCCTTCTCGCACGGCGTGTGGTGGCCACGAACCAAATTCGGAATCGAAGCCGTCACTGACTGTCCTACTGGTAAGTAACAAAATGAACATCATAATACTTTGTATGTAAATCTTTTGGAACGCCTAAAGACAAATACCTTTAAACCTTCAAGAAAAGAGCGTATTCCTTTTTAAAAGGCCGGCAACGCACCTGTGACTCCTCTGGTATTGCGGGTGTCCATGGACGGCGCTGATCGCTTACCATCAAGTGATCCGTCCGCTCGTTTGCCGCCTATTCCATAAAAAAAAGAAATACAAATTACACAAATGGTCACCCATGACAGAATTATTCTCTTTATAATGTTAAGAAATATTAATTCATAATTGTTGTCATCTAGGTACAAGTGGTAAAGCGACGCGAATGTGCGATGAAACGCAAGTGGTGCCCTGGCAGGAACCGGACATGTTCAACTGTACTACGTCCACCTTCTACCAGCTCAGGAAACAGGTAAGTTGTAGACGAATTTAGTTTTAGTGCATTATTCTAAATACCAACGAAACAATATAACCAAGAATTGTATTATGAACCTGATTGAAAAAGAGCAACCTATGGAGTTTCTTGCTCGTTCTTCTCTATAGAAATATACACCTTGAAACGAGCCCATAGCTTCACTAGAGGATTGGCTGACATACTGACATTTTTTCTTTAATATTTAAATATTTTGTTTTGACGACGAAAAGTGCCTTCTTGGTCTAATTGAAATATATGATATTGACTTTGACTTTGACACATGCCCCACGACATGTGTCTCCTGGTCCCAAGTCGCAGGACATTTTGTCCCCTAGTAATCCCCTTGGCTTAATTGAAATGCTAAAACAGTCGAACAAGTCAATTTACTGAGATATAAAAAAATCCTTAAGGTACATTGCGCTAACTAATAAGTTCAAAATTGGAAACCCTTAACATTTTTTAATTTTCCGGCCTAGATTTAGGCGATAATATAACAACTTATAGAAAATGCTATAGGTGTCTTTGAAAAAACTAATTCATTAGGAGCACATCAGACTCCACTTTTGTGCTTTAACGAACCTAAACCCTTTAAATAATACTACTTTATAATAATTATGGTATCTTTACTTCACCATTAACAATTAAAATTTCTTCTCAACAAAATCATTATTCAACAACCGCCTTCATCCCTACAGTTAAGCAAGATCGAAACTGGTGAGTTATCAGTGAACACATTCGTCGGGGTCCGACTGGCCGCCGACTTGACCTCTGCCTGCGAACAAACTCCTCAGTTATACGGGGCTGATGTACTGGTCGCTGAGGGAATACTTCTTGAATTACTGCAGTATGAGATGAGGCAAGCTGGATTGAACCTTACGCATAGTCAGGATAAGGATTATGTTAGGGTAAGTGTGTAAAGTAGCTTTCATTATTTTGCTACCTCATTGTTTGTATATTTTACATGTATGTTTACTGGTTGCTGAATAAGGGGGTCTCATCCAGTTCAATTCTCCGGTTGAGTAATGTATCTAAAATGCAATTTTTGCCTCGTAGGCCGAGTAGTCGCAAGTGTAGTTGCGACTACCGGGCAAGGGGTCTTGGGTTTGATTCCCAGATAGGGCAAAGTAATACGGAGTCTTTTTTGAAAAAATCTCGGTAGAGTAGCACGGAGTCTGGAATTGTGCCCGGTATATGGCAATAGGCTCACCCCCTATTGCTATGGAACTCATAACATAAATAGCGAAAAGTGGGTGTTACATTGTACAGTGGCATTAAGTGCCGTTATGTGCACCTCTCTGATGTTATGATGCTATGTTATGAAATTTTTGGCTTTTAAAAAATCTCTGTACGCATTTCTTAAATAGCACGCATTTCAATTCCTGCTCAGCGTATGTATATGGCATTTATAAAAGTACACAGTATGGCTCTATTATATAAGACCCAAAATGTAATGTGACAAGTAGGTCTTGCTTTGAAAAGCCCCTGTACTTATCTACAGCAAGGCTATCCTTTCGAGGAATAAAAGCCATAACGATAATCAACGTATTGCTATTCATCATAACGCTTATACAACACGAAACTCCAAATAACAACGTCCTATCTCTTTCAGAATGTGATAAAATCAGCAAATACAATCCTAAACGAGCAGTATACGAAACAATGGTCCCGTATTCGCGAGCTGACAGGCCACGGCATGGAACTTCTACTGCAACGGTTCGACAACTACATCGCAGTGCTAGCTGAGAGCCAACACGATACTTATACCAGTCCCTTCGAAATTGTCACTAGTGATCTTGGTGAGTTATTTGTTTGATTTTGTATTTTATAGATATGGTTTTAGAATTTAAATTTGTACTTTTTATGGCTTTGAGCGGTAAAGAAGCAAGTGGATTACTGGTGGTGAGCCATTGGCGTCAACCATGGACACTCGCAACGCCAGGTTATAAGTGCGTTACCGGCTTTTCAAGGATTGGGTTTTTTTTTAAACTGTCAAACACCAAGCGGTCACCGGTGACCGCAACCTATTGTTCTTTAATTGTGTCTATAATGACGGTACTCAACGAGTTAAGGGGGGAAAACCATCGAATGACTGCTCCCGCCTGGGTGAGGCGGGAGGGAGTGTCGGACTCTTACTGACTAAAAACCATCCCGTTCCTTCTCCTGCATATCGAGCCGGAGCCCTGGTAACCCGTTAGGTTCTCCGCGACAAGGATTGGGGATTTGGGGAGGAATATTAGATCACTTCCGAAACTGAATCTTGTAGAACTTTAACAGCCAGTCTCAATAACCTCTCTGTCAGGAGATTAAGACCAACCAATTGTTATCAGCTCTCTTTATTCTTAGTTAAAGTAGCATCTTGATGACAATCAACTAAAAAATGGGCAGTATTTAGCATGTTGCACACTAACAGTTCAGTTTGATGAACTATTTTCAAAAGTGTTATTTAAAAACCGTGTCTTAACAGTAATTTCTATTTTCAGTAATCGGCGTAGACATAGTAACAGCAGAATCGATATACGGCTTCGAACCGACTCAACTAAATCGATACAACATCGATACCTACACGACCGAGCGAGTGGTCCTACCAGACACATCGTCCTTCATACATTCTCCCATACAAACTCCTATATACCATGCTAATGGGAAAATACATAAACATAGAAAACCTTCCAGTCCTACAGTTTCATTCCCAAAGTACAATAATTATGTGAAGAGCAAGAACAAGTTTGATAAATATACGAGGGTGCTGCTGCCTTTGGATCTACTTGGAATTACTAATAATAATATTCAAGGTGAGTTCATGTTAGTTTTAAATATGATATAGATAGATGTACCTTTTTTACTACTCACTTTTTTTAGGACCAATAAATATTTCCAATAAAAACGTTTGGAATAGTTTTATACTACAGCCATTATTGTTACTCCATCTGTACTTCAAAATACGCATGAGGCGTTGCGCAAAAAGTTGCTAAATGAAACAATTTTATCTGGTATTTTTATGTTCAAACGCATCCCAGTTAGAACCCCCAGCGGGGTTTATTGGGAAACAAGATATTTAAAGAAAATGAAAAAAAAAATGCTTACCCTTCAATTTTTTGTAGAAAACCTCGAAACAAACTACGAATCTCGCGCCGTATTCTCCTACCTCCAATACTCCCGTAACACGTCACAAATGATGCCTCTTCGGATGGACGAGTCAGTCAGCCAACGGTGGGGAGTCAACATTACCGTAGGCTCCCCCATCATACAGCTAGCACTGTTTGTACCGGAGTACGTATGGACTAAGGAGGCCAGTGAAGAGGATAATTCGCTTGAAAACAGCTTGGAGGATGTTGAAGGTATGTTGAATTGAAGCACTAATATAGGTATGTTTGCCTAAAAACATTTTCTCAAAGAAATAGTGTTTATGGGATAAGGAGACGAATGAGCAGACGGATCAGCAATGATACCTGGATAATGGTAAGCAATTAGCGTGGACCAACAACACCAGAACCCTTTTGTGTGAGGGATAGTACCCCTGGTAACCTTACCCACATAGCGCCATATTTTTCACATTTCACACCATGTTAATCTCAAAATACCCTTCTACACACAGGTATTGTCTATGCCAACAAAGGCAACCACCATCAAATGAACAACCACGTCAATCAGAACTCCCAACCGAAAAACACGTGGCCGCTCGACGACCCACAGATACAAGACAACCACGGCCCAGTAGTCATACAACCAACATTCAAAAAACAAGAGAAATCATACGCCAACGAAGATTTACAAGAAAACGAATCGTCTTACGTCGAGGAAAAAATAGAAACCAACGAAGGACCTAAAGTGATGGCGCTAGTGTCGGAAATGGGGAACTCTACTAAGGACGGTGGCAAAAAGAAGTTGATCTACAAAAGCTTGAGTGGCATTCGGTTGAAGAGACCTGTTAGACTGCAGATGTGGCTGGATATTGATCGGGAGACGTTTGGGTCTAGGACCAACCCTCAATGCGTGCATTGGTCTACTTTAAGAGGGTGAGTTTAGTCCTATATTACCTACAGTTCAGTAATTTCAATGCTTTTGACATCTTTTACGGTCATATTTTCTTACATCATCGTTCGTGAAAACCAGTATATTTGTATTACCATCTTTCATTACCTTAATAATTAGGAAAAAGTATTTTATTGTGTTATTTGGAATTCGTTACAAAATTACCATAAATCAATATAATTAGTGCTAGCGAAAACTGCTATTTCTCATGATATCTGATCAATTTCTTGTCTCCTTTAGATCTGGAGAATGGTCTCGAGTAGGATGTCACACGGAGATCGACTACGATTGGTCCCCATACTCCAATGAACCGCTGCTTATCAACTGTACCTGCAACCATCTGTCCACCTTCGCTGTACTCGTTGATGAGGTGGATATTGAGGTAAGTACTTAATCAATTATCGACTTTATAAAATGTTTTAATTGTTAGAAACCAGATAGAAAGCTCCTGATAATAATATTTGACTTTACTTAAATTCGTCTACTCAATTTTATTATTCAATAGATTTTGTAGTGAGGTTTTATGGGCTGGGTACCAAGCAACTACCTAATGTCAAAAATAAAATCACAATCAAGAGACTACTGCATATATGTATATTGTATTGTTTGTTTTACATACATGACACTATTTCAGTGACATAAAAATCTTTTCAGTACTTCTTGTTTGATCTAATCATTGACAAAAATGAAGGCAACTGAATAACACTGCTCTCTTCTTCTACAGTTCATCCCAGAACCCTCCCTCCTGGAATCAGTAACATCATATACAGCCTTCAGCATATCCCTACCACTGCTCCTGATCACATGGCTGGCTCTCTGCCTGATGCGAGGCGGCGCTGCTACTGTCTCCAACTCCATACACAAGCATCTCATCTTCTGCGTGTTTATGGCCGAACTGCTGTACCTCATTGCTTTGAAAGCCAGGACTTCCTTGGTGCAAAATGAGGTGAGTGACAATGATGAATAATGTTATTTATTCTGTGCATTTTTTATACCCAATTAAAATTTTAATCAATTATCTCTTCATCCTTATCTCTTTCTCATTCTTTTTTTTTCTTTCCATTTCGTTTTCTTTTTCTCCATCTGTCTCTCCTTTTTCTTTCTTCTTTTTATATTATGCAGATCTTTCTTTTTCCTTCTTTCTTTCTCGCTTCTTTCTCTCTTTTTTCTCCCTTTCTCTCTATGTTTATTTCTCTCCTTCTATCTCTTGGAATCTGACGAAACTCAACATATTCAAAGTTATTTTGAGTGGAACGTCCAATAACGGCGTGCGTGGTCCCCAGTTCGTGTGCAAGGTGCTGGCGATGTCGCTGCACTACTGGTGGGTGTGCGCGCTGGCGTGGTGCGCGTGCGAGGGCTGGCAGGTGCGGCGCCTGGTGCGCGAGCTGCGCGACGTCAACCACGCCGGGCTCGCCGCGCACCTCGCCGCCGCCTACGCCGCGCCCGCCGTCGTGCTCGCGCTCGCTGCCTCGCACCACCAGCATCAGTACGGGAATGCGCTCTTGTAAGTATTGCACCACATTTTCTTCTTATGGTACATCGACTCGACAGCCTGTAAGAATCTACTCCTGAACTATGGGGCCTTCGCTACAAAATAAGTATATGCCATAATGTTCATGCTAGTCAGGTGGGGTTGAAGTTCGCAGACTTAAAATTAACTTTCAGAGCGGGCTTCTGCCCAGTTTCTAATAAATATCTATTTCCTTAATCGGTTCGTAGCTATACGACATCCGCGGAAGAAGGATGATGAAAAATGTATCTCTGCTGTCACCATACAGCGTTTTCTACTTACGTATAGTTTTTTATTCTATGACGCTTCTACTATAGTGTTAGAAATTAAAAATACGGTTGTATTGCTTAAGGAAATATGAAGCCCAACTAAGCAATTATATTATTGCGTTGTAACAGTTGCTGGGTGAGCTGCCATGAGCCGGTAGTATGGTGGGTGGTGATACCGGCCGCGGTGTACGCGGGGGCCGCGCTCGTATTCCTCGCTGGAGCCACGCGCGCCGCCTTCACTGTACGAGACCATGTTATTGGATTTGGAAATCTAAGGTAAGTCATTTAATTTTAAGATGGTATATTATTAAGTATCTTATGTTTGATAAGGATCAAGTTCCAGTATATAAGAAGACAGCTACTTTTTTCTCAATAGCTTCTGAAAGCGTTGTCTTAATCAGAATCGGGTAGACCTACTGTTTCATTGAAGATAGAACCATCTCCGAACATTGTAATCAAAACTTAATTCAAATTATACAAGTAACTAACCTACCGATACATCCTAGATTACTGCTGGGGGTGAGCGTGGTATGCGTCCCCCTGGTGGTGGTGTCGTGGGCGAGCGCGCTGTTGCTGGGCAGCGAGGTGGGGGGGCGGCGCGACGCGCTCAGTGCCGCGCTGGCCGCCGCCGTCGCTGCACACGCCGCTGCGGCTGCACTAGGGTACATCGCCTTCAATATACGCGTTAGGGATAATCTTAAGAGGTAAGTGTAAGGACTATTAACTTAACTGAAATTAACAGCTCATAAAATTGACTTCGTTATCTGATGTAAATGAATAAATAAAATAAAAATATTCTGAAGTTCGATTAGTTTTAAACCACTATGGGACTAATAATCTGGAGGTCTCTGAGTCGCTTTCTTATGCTTCTACCTTAATATTTTCAATAACGTTCATTTCAGCTTGATCAAAATAGAGTAAAATTTCATATTCATTCACCAACTCACCAAGGAAGTCCATATAACACTCACCAAAATAAGTAATGACAATATTTATTTCAGGACGGTACTAAGATGTTTGGGCAAGAAAGTGCCTCTAGTCGACACATCAATCATAGTCAGCAGCAGTGCTCAAAACTTATCACAAGTTAACAGGTAAAATATTTACGATTATAAACTTAATTAATTTTATAAATAAAGGACTGTATCCCTTAAAATACTATTTGTGTTGTGTTCCTTAGGTCTGCCCTGGCGTATCATAGTAGTACGGAGCCAGGACGTCAGATGAGAAATATAGGAATATCAGCATCATCCACCACTTCCCGATCTACTACTAAAACTAGTTCCAGCCCTTATAGGTAAGCCATTATGCTTAACATACACTGAGGTGGGCCTAGTAAAGAACCCTGAGGAACTCCAGAAGCAATCGCCCTTGATATTCAAAATAATAACAAAGTCAGACTGTTTTTAATTAAATGTAGGAATTTAATTAATAATTGACACTACTTTGGCATATACCATTCCAAATTTTCATATGGTATACCATTTAAATACAATATTATATGATTAGACTTGTCAAATCCCTTTGAATGGTTCTAGAAATAATATACGTATTATTAGAACTTTGTTGCAAATACTTTATATTTTGTGCAGTCGCAGTGATGGACAACTTCGACACACAAGTACTTCAACATCCAACTACAATACAAGCGCGAGTGACATGCCCGCGTACTTGAGAGGGTTCGACTCCTCCCTTCATACTAGAAAAGATGGTAAGTCCTTTTTTCTATACCTCCACTCTCCAGCTATTATAGATTAATTTACATGACCTTCTTGACCGACTTCAAAAACTTCGTAAACAATTTTGTGTTTCTTAGAAGAAGTACTACATACGTAGGCTTAATTAACTGCGCAACCTTTATAAGTACTCATTAGTATTTTTTCCAATTTAAAATTAAATAATATTATTCTATCTACTCAGATGAGGGTCGTCGTCGTCGCAAAGCGGTGACAGATGGTGAAACGACAGGAGAGACTGGTGAGGAAGCCACAGAGGCTACTGACAGTGACAGCGATGGAAGCGCCAGGAGTTTGGACCTCGCCTCCAGCCACTCCTCTGATGACGATGAGACCAGCACTCGAAGATCTAGTCATCCACCATCAGCTAACAGTAAGAATTTCTACCAGTATCTAGTCTGTTGTAAACCACCCGTTATTTCTTTTTAATTGAAGGGATGGTTGATCAGTGAAGTTTTAGAACAGTATAAAGACTGGCTGAAAATGCTACTGAAAGTACTAAGATTATGAAGTAAAAACTTTATATCTGAAATGAACTTTGCTAGAAAATATTTGGAATATACACAAATTATTTCCATAGGAGATCGAGCCACCAGCGGCAGTGCTACCAGCTATTTACCGAATATTACAGAAGGAGCACCGCTAGCCATTCAACCAAGATGGCCGTCACATATACGAGAAGGTAGGTTGAATTTTAACATAACTATTAACGTCTAATATCCGTGAAATTACTCTCAGAATGCTCAAATAGAAAAAAGTACGCCATCAAACATGTTTTTCTTCTCTTAGAATCAAACCGACCAGAAATGGGTAGATGGTCGCAAGAAACAGCGTCGGACAATGAAGGTAACAATGGAGGTATGGCGTCTCCATCTCCCAACCCACTGCCCAACCCTGACCTGACGTCTGACGTGTACCAGCTCAGCAGACATCGGATGAAGCCTTCGATACTGGAGAACGTGCACGATACTTATGTCGCGAGTGTGGATGCGTCTAGATTACCGCTTGATAATAGGTAAGTTCTACGAAGTAACAATTATGACACTTTAAAGTAAGCCCTAAAAGCCCTTTTTCCTAAGTCTTTGTAAGAATTTCCATTAGTTGTAGTTAAAAATAGTCTCAAAAATGTCCTTAAGCAATTTTCTAATTAATAAACTAATCGTGAGTACGAAATATTATATTTTTACGTATTTATTCTTTACTCGCTCAAATGGTCTTTCCGAACAAAATTTTTCTAAATGGTAAGAAGACTAGGTAGTCTTCATACCGGAAAAATTTCAAGTAAACCTAGAATACTGAAATGATACACTTCTTCTTCCATAACTGCAAAAACAAACCGAATCCAATTAGAACTAATTTCAAACGTGTCTTTTCCTCAAAGATACGGCGTAATGGACGACGAGCTCATGTACGGAGTACTCCCAACAGACACAGAAAAACAAATGCAGTACGACCCTAACTATCCCATATCGCCGACCATGTACAGACTGCCAGGCAACCCTTACGGATCCAAAACCTACCTCCCTTCAAGAACCTCAGACTATGGGTTCAGCCCCACAAAATATTTAACGGGCGACCCCAACGTCTATGGGTCTAGGGACTTCAGAGACTCTGGAGTGTCTACCAGAGAACACGATGGGTACCCGCCGCGGGATTTTCGGGATTCTGGCATAGCCACCATGTTGAAAAATGACTATCAAAGAAAGATGGAAGGTCATTACGGTGCAGATTATACGGACAGAATGTCTGAGGGATCAGATAAGCATCATGACAAATATTTGTTCCCGTATACAGGTAAGATGTAGTTACAATTGTTGGTTTTTGTGTGTGTGAGTGGCATATAGGTAGAGTCTTTGTTAAAATATCGTGTGAATCATTGAACCATTCAATACCTTCAGTACAGTTTTTAAAAAACATCGACTTTAACCAGCTTTAACCAACACATTTCCTTTCTATGTTGTATTTAAAGTGTGTGCTTACGTTTTATTTTTGTTTTTTCGTTTTTTACCCAAGCGACAGATATGAAGTGCTTTTTTGACATTATTATTTTGCTTGCTTTAGCTGAAGAAGATCACGCACACTTGCGTGGCATCAACCAGACACCGCAAGTCCGTAGTAGTGAGATGGCACACCCAGGTAATTTGTTAATGCTCCCATCACTATAGGACATGCACTTGATACGATAAGACTACAGGATTAGCTTAGTTGCCGTATGACCGGATTATTAGACGACATGTTTATTCGGTTCGATATCTAGCATATAACGGAGAGACCTTTCCATTGAAACAGAGGGACGGACTCTGACTTAGAGACATAATAAAGAACTTGACGGATACTAGTATATAAAGTTTATTAGTATTAATTAGTCAATGTTACGTATTTAGATTTACATGTGTGCACCTACTTAGTAAATGGTATTATCATTGCATGTTATACCGAAGTTATAATTTTAGATCACTCTGTATACTTATTTTCTTATTTTTCTTTCTTTCTTAGCTGATAATCAACAGCAGATGGGGGCGCCACTGGCGAGTATGGGCGAGACGAGCGAGTAAGTGCGATTTAATTATTTACGCATGTTAATACTGCATGATGTTATATTTTATGTTACTCAGGATTCAGTACAATAAGGAACAATTTAATGTCTTTATAATGTGATATTCCTTTAATAAAGACGTTTTCCATAAGTATTATGGTTATAGAATATTTAACTATGTAACTAATCCTACTACTTGTGACTATTTTAACCCTGTGTAATTTGGAGTCCAACTCCCTTTTTGCATAAAATATTTTGCATAGTACGGAATTCTGTAAGAAACGTAATTCAGGAGTCACAATCATGAACCAATTTAATTAAAAAAAATAAACACAGCTATCTTTGGCCAAAAGGCATGAAGTTATACAAACCTTTGTAAAAAAAACGTGTAAGATTTTAAAACTGGAAATTACAAATTGTGTAACAAATTATATTCTTTGCTGGACTCCTGAATATCGTTATTTTTATTATGATTTAAATAAAAAATCCAGCCATAATGATAAAATTGTCAATAGATGGTGGCGGTTGTATGAGAAACACTCATTGTAATCATCTTTTGCTTTGCTAACCCGGTGGTGTTGCCGCGCAATCATCTTCAACCATTTAGGGAGGAGGTAACTTAATGTCAATTATTTAGTTTTAATCATAATATATAGACGAGTGCCCTTCTGAATCATGAACATCATCTACTTAGGCTAAGGTAGATGTTTGTATATTTTCACGATCGCCTGTCTTAGTTTTGCTATTTTAGATGTTTGTATGTCGTCACGCTCATGGGGACCATGAATTTGAAAAGGCACTCGTATAGACCACTGTCACGTATTATTCTTTATTTAATTTAATTATGTAGGTACTTGTATACCTAATAAGGATGATTGGTTTTGGTTGGTGCTAGTAAGGCGTGAGGTCTTATAAGACAACCAAAATGCCATGACCGTGTCTTCTTCATTTAAAACTATCTGTTATGCATGTGGGTGTTAATTTTTTGTCAACATTTAATTATTAAATTGTAATCATGTACTCCACTGAAAGACTTGTATCTATGGTCATGAATAAAATTATTAAAAAAAAGATCGTAATCAAATAAATAATGGTGTTTTACAGGAAATCTACTACTGAAGACGATGCAGAAACGAGAGTGTGACGACGTTAAATAGTACAAGATTTCCAATGAATCTCAATTAGATATAATTTAATATTAAAACTTCTTCGTAATTTTATAACGATTAGTGTTAATTTATGCAAAGACTGTCGTTCAATCAGTACCCACTGCCATAGTGTAGAGTAACGAGTATTTATTTTGAAATTATTGTCTATGCTTTAAGTAGTAAGTATAGTGGAACTGAAATAGAATTTAATGTATTGAATACTCATTTTTTGTCGGGTTTAATGTTTGGAAGTTCGTGTATTTAAGTTTTAGGGGGACGTAATCACACAGCTTGTGAACAATTACAGGTATTTTACCCACTCAGATCTACTGGCTACTATTTATTCTCATTTAGAGTCTATTTCACAATAGTTCATTAAGTTTTATAAACCTAACTAACACATTTAATATGTAAAATACTTCAATACATCTGGTTGTGTGAATACGCTATACGCCCAAAGCCCTAAGAATCTCACAAAAATGCTCAGCGATTAAGTAAAATGCTATAATCACGATTACATACCTCTACTTATAAAGATGTGTAAATAAATGGTATCTAGATGTTATTATCTTTATCAATACACTCAAATGTAGTAGAAAAATTATAAAGAATTTATTTTAACATGCGTTCGTATAGAAATATTGCATGCCTATCGAAATAATAACTTTATTAAATAATGACATCCAAAGTCAGTCATGTAAATATTTAAGTTAGCTTTGGAGTGAACGTTTACCGAATTTTATTCAAATACTTAAGTATACTCGTACATAAGTACAACTCATGATTATGGGCCCTGGATTGGCTTGAAATTGATCGAGTAAACTTGTCTAACATTCATGTGAATAAGTCGTAAACAGAACCTAATTAAATAACCAACAGTTTATGATTTTTTATCATAATCATACCAATCAAAAACATAGGCTCTTCTTTACAACAACACAAGAAAATGAATAAAATTCGATAAACTCCACTCCATATAATGTAGTGCAAAATATGAATTACTTTTATTTTTATATAAGAAAACCAAAACTATCGTTTGTAAACAACGTTAGAATAAGATTATGTAGGAATGATAGTGTTTGTGTAACTGAGAATGCATTTTACATTATTTACTTGTGTGAGAGACCGTTATTTTTCACATTGATCCTAGCGTTTATAGGTGTCTTTACCTTATTCACTGTAGAAAAAAAAATAAGATTCGAAAAAAAATTCCGTTCTTTTATTTCTGAATGTTTGTTCTTATTGGAATAATAAAAATAGAATGTATAATTATATTTTCGAAGTTCTCATAAAACTCTGTAAATAGCGTGTTGTGTGCATTCCTAGCGTTTTAACGAAGAGTCCACCTATTTTGTAAATAATAGATTTTTACACTTTTAGTAGTTAATTAGGGACTATAATAATAATAGTGGAATATTATGTGAAAGCTTTATTTAGATATTCTGTAGTGTCAGATTGCCATAATTAATATTTAATGAGTTCGTAGCTGCACTATGAATGCGAACATAGATGATGGATATTTTTCAATAGATCTGCTACTGTTTGCTGTTCAGTAAAATCAGGCGTTTCTTCACATTGATATAATATTAAAAGTGGCAATTTTATTCACTTTAACTAAACTCTATTGTGTGTTCATGTAGTCGTAATGTTTACTTGTCTACGCTTTTCTTTCTATAAACTGTAAGTATATAGTTTATTTGTATGCAATGTTTATCCAGAACAATAATTCTGGGATTTAACAGCAGATCCAAAAACCCTCTTCCTAATAAATATAAATTCCGTTTATTTTGCTCAATGTAACGTTTAAATTATTTTACATACTTACGTAAGTGATTCTAAATTATATTGCCTTGTATAAATTGCATTTGCCACTTTTACGGATTATTCGGCTCATTTTTATATTTAACATTCCATTTTGTGATACCTTAATTATCTTCACCATTTTCTATATATTGTACCTTTACAGGCAATGTTTATATAGTGGTACAAAACATTTGAATTGTTTTATAATGAAATAAAATATTTTATTGCTAAATTTTTTGTTTTGTTTTATTTATAAACTAATTCCCACGTGGTTTAACCCGCTGCTCAGCTCCTTTTAATTATAGCGTTATGTTTAACCCATTACCCATTCTAGCCCAAGTCCGCTCCATTCCTATCCTTTAATCAGAAAATGTTTTTCACAGAGGGTGTACCTACAGAGTGCTAAAAATGTCGTTTTTTAGGCTAAAATATTAAGCTAAGCTACAAAAACTAAGCTAGCCAATTAGCTATTGATGTTTTTTCGAGACAACCTTCCGCTGCCACTCCTGTAAGTCAGGATTTTAAGTAGATACAACCACGAAAACGCCGCAATACTGAAGTCCGGCGACATAAATAACTGTATTGGATCCCGCAACGAGCAGACGGATCACTTGATGGTAAGCAAACGGCGCCGCCCATGGACACCCGAAACACCAAAGGTGTTAGAAGTGCGTTACCGGCCTTTTAGGGACTAGGAATTTGAGTATTATTGGGGATTTGTGGATTTGGGAGATTAGGGAGGAGGTTAATTGGGCCTCCGGTAACCCATTCACACGAGGAAACACAACGCAAGCATTGTTTCACGTCGATTTTCTGTGAGGCCGTGGTATCACTCCGGTTAAGCCGGCCCATTCGTGCCAAAGCAAGGCTCTTGCACACGAATGTCAGATGTTATGTCAGAACATAAATAATAGAGAAGAAATTAAATTGAGGTATTGTAAGATTTTGAACCGCGACCATCCTACGTAAGCTATATTAGTTTATTGACGGAATTAGATTTGAGTTTTTATAAATGGACCCATTCCCATACAAGGCCATTCCCACCCCACCAGGTACGTCTGGGGGGATAAAGAGTTATTTTTTAGTTTTTGTTAAATATTGTAAAAGTTTTAACCGGGACCAGTCCTAACTCCTAAGCCTCTCCGGCCACCCGACCAGAACCAGACATACGGCGCGTCGCGTTCGGCGCGAGCCTCAAAGAGCCGATATACCACCACGGATGGAGCCCAATGGGGCAGATGCCGATACGTACGGAGCCGCTGAGAACGTAAAAAATTACCGGGGCTCCGACTCGAAGTGCAGGAGTAGGAACAGGAAATTATTTTACTCAGTACCTAAGGGCCTGACACTCCTACCCGCCTCATCTAGGGAGAGAAGTCATTCAAAGATTTTCCCCTTATCAAAAACTCATAAGCCATGTTACCCACATTATTAATGATTTCAGGTTTCAGATTTTATAAATGGACCCACCCATTCTCACCCCATCTTTCTATTAGAAAATATTTTTAAGGGGGGTTTTACGTCTAGGGGGTGCTGAAAATTTCGTTATTTTATTGCTGGGACCTTTAGTTTTTTTTTTTGAGATATCATTAAATTTATAACGCCACCAGTCCTCAATTTCTTTGGCATTTATTGGTAGGTTTTATAACTAAAATTAATATGTATAATATTATAACTTTCGTGAGACATACTAAATTAATTATTGTTTTCGACTTACTCACGTGACTGTTTGACGAGGAACTCGACTAGTTTTAAGCCATGCTAGAAGCTCATATTCATTAAATAAACCGAAAACATAATAATTAACAAATATTTAAGATTTAAAAATGGGATTCTTTCAGTCCAAGGTCACTCTCACATCATCGCTCAATCAGTAAATTTCTTTAATGGATTGGGCCCCATGGAAAATGGGATTGCCTTAGCCAGCTATGGGTTTATAAGTTATAGCTGTCCTTGGCCCTGTGCTAAAAGGCTAAGGCTGGATCTTCCCGCAATCTTTACACTTCCTATCACTACCTACGCTTGTGTGTCGACGTAATCATACGTACATAATACTCTTATCGTACACAATCAACAACGTAGGAGCCACTCACGCGCATTTGTGATAATGATAGAATCAACATTATATTGATTACGACATCTTGATTTTTTGTCTCATTCTGTCTTTGAGGATTTTGGAATTCCTTGATAGTCAAGAAATAATTGTCTGTAGAATCGACATAAAATCCTTATCTTTTAGGACTTTTTTTAATCTTTTAGGACGCATAGATTCAAGATCAATTTTATGAATAATTCAGGGTCAATGTCTGTTCGACTAATCTCATGGTCATTTCCTAATATCGGATACGCCTGACGAAGCCTATTATTGTCTCAAAGACTACATAAATCAAACCACATTCATGTAGTTGTAGTCAAAAATAAAGAGAAAAATAAAAATATCTTTGTACAACTTTTTATCTATTTATTCATCAACATACATAATATCTACATTTGCACAAATAAAATATATTTACTTAGAATTACATCAGTAAATTGAATAAGACTGACATAATACTTTCTCGTTCGTTTTGTTCCGAAATTTGAACACTGCGCTAATAGCCAATGTCGATAATCATTTGATATATAAAATACCAACAATGTGTGGCAACAAATTAACTCCTATAGTTAAGTTTATGCAGTTGAATTTACAAGTACGTACAATAAATTAGTAAGAGGTAAGCAAACTACTATTTACAATTGGGACTTTATAATCATTTGATATATTTTTATTTTCTCATACAATAATTTAAGGGAAACCGTGCTTTATCGATACCAGAAAACATTAACAATTTCGATATTTTCCAAGCAGACACATGCAGCTTTAGTTCATCAGTACAATCATTTCTGTCATGAAAGATGTTTTCTATATAATTGTAAAACTTTGTGCTCGGCTATAATACGATAACAATAGAATGCTATTGATGGCTATATACAATGCCATCAACATCACCCTCTTCATAACTTGTGTCGAATGGAAAATAACATATCACACCAAATACGAAATGTATGTACATTAATATTTTATTACTATGTATAATATGGGTTACAGACTGACCAATGAAGCTTTTACAAAACTTGAAACAAGGTTTTATGGAATGTATAAGCCTTATAAATGACTAGGCACAATACTGTAGTTACGTCAAGGCAGAGCTTTATATTAGGCCACGGAAACTCTAAAAACAGTGCATGCCTAGTCATTTCCAAATTAGGACACTGTTACGGTTCAATACAACACAATCTCAACAGTTTGCTAAATAGTTGTCAATAGAATACTGAAATACAATCCAAACCTCTGTTCAAATATCTCAAATCTTAGCACAAATGCCTTAATATATGAAACAACAATTATAGTAAATTTATAGTACAGTAATAACATCAAAAAGTTAAATTTATTTTAAGCTACTTTGCTATGGAGTGCTAAGATCAGATATTTTGATTTAAAATTAAAAAAATAATTTACTTTTTATAAACACATCAACAAAGAGCAGGCAGGAAAGATACACAAGTTCAACACTGCAATTATAATAACTTGAAGCTTCTTCGGTATATAAGTATGTGAGCACTGGATACTCTGTTAGTGAGGGAGGTCAAGGCTGGTAACTTCCAGTGCCGATGTACACTGAAAACAATAAAAAACTCATTACTATCTCAAATACTTTAATTACATATATAGGTAACATTACAATTAATAATTCCTAAGAATATATTAAATTAATATCATACAGTAAGGAAGCTTAAGGAAAACAAGGCCCAATGTGTAAACTTTACATAATACAACTATTTGTCAAATGACTGAAACATGCTGTAACACTTAGATGTCTATACTTGCAAGATCATGTGACCTAGATTTTAAACCTAATTTTATATTATCATTTATTCTCCAATATGATTTAAAGAACATTTCACATAGATACTTTCTTATAAGATTGTATTCGAACATCAAAATGTACAGACAGATTAAAGAAATGAATTTCTAAAATGTAAATGGATCAATATAAGTTTCATTTATAATAAAGTTTAGACTAGATTTATAAACAAAATATGGTTTTAAATGAAACATTCTATGAATCATAGTCACAATTTGATTGTCACAATGTACTACATTATTACAATTGTATAAATGCAAATATTGAATGGATACTTACACTTAGATTCAAGTTTTAAGTTTATTCTTAAATTACTGGTTGCCCATTTTGCACTTTGATGTCATGTAGATACCAACAATAAGACCAAAGAGACCAATGGCTGATCCGAAAATCTCTACAATTAGGATCTTGACAAACAGAGCAGCATTGGCTGCATCGGCCAGGGCAGCACCAGATCCTACAATTCCCACGGCGATACCACAGAACAGGTTGACGGTACCCACGGCCAGACCAGCTCCAAACATCACATACCCAGCCATCCAGTTCTGTTGCTTGATACTGATATCAATCAGGGGCTCTGTGTATCTTTCCAGCATTCCAGACAGCACGATGGCAGTGATCAATCCATAAATGGCGACGGCTTCGCAGAAGATGACGGAGATCAAGTTCTTGGTCTTAATTCTGGGAGCTTTGACACCTCCTCCGACTATGCTCACTCCCGTCGTGTGGATGCCCATAGCTGCACCCACTACTGACAGAGACACGGCGAACGCGATTCCCAACGTACCCCACATGTAGGGGGACGTGTTCTCCAGGAACCATCCAACGCTGAGTTGCTCACCCTTTCCTTGGAGAAGATAGAACATAGACACTACTGGAATCACGGCCACCACCAACAGCGCGAACAGGTAAGTTAGGAAGTACCTCATCTTGAAGTATTTTTATTAGCAAATTGGTGCTGTTTTACCCGATATTCCCAAAAGGGACGGCCTTTTTTCGCCCAATTTTTGCCTTGACAGAAAACTCAAAAGCGAAGAGGTCTTGTGATCACAAGTTGTCATAGACAATAAAAGGGTTGCAATTCTCAAATATAACTAAAATAAACTCTTGTGACCTTTTGATAAAACTAAAATAAATCGTTATAAAATACACATGGAACTTTATAACTAACAAATAGAGAGAAATAGTTTCAGATCTCAGTTGGTCATTATTCTTGGAAAGTTCTATGACTAAAATAGTTTTAGTGATATATTGCCAGTACAAATAATCCGTCACTATTCAGTAATCATACTTTTTGTCTATTACTTGCACGAGAAGCTGAACCCAACTGAAACTGACCCACAGATTGGACCTCAAGCTGTACGAAGTCTACTACGTAATACGTATTTATTAATTTTAGCACGAACTAATTCTAGTGTAGATATTGTAGCTTGTAGCTGAAAGACACAAAATGGCTCTAAACAATTAATCTTGACAAACATATTTCTATAATAATTTAATATAGCATAATATCTACAGAAATATTTTTAACAAACTTAAACAATGATAGAAAATGATAGGTTAATGTATACTTAACATAAAATTTTGCGTTGAAGGGATTTAAAATTTAAATTCCAAATTGCAATTTAATCTTAAGATTTTAAAATGGAATCATTTTTTTTCCCTAATTAGGTTTTTTTCTTATAAATGCACCGAATTTGACACTACACAATCACTAGGTTGCCACAGGTATGATACTAGTGACCTAAATTATTCCAAACTCATTTTTACCAAAACTGTACTTGAAATCATCACCCTCCTCTTTATGTGATGTGCAGTTTTTGTTACATTTGAATGAAGTCGTTCACAGTACCTACAGAGATAGTAGCAGTTGTGATAAATATTGTCTACTGTAATAACTCAATGAATCTAATGTTTCTTTGCTAGTTCTAGTAAGTAAACGTTAAACTTCAACCTGGCCCAAAAATACTGGACCTTGTGACTACTCTAGTATACCCACTAATCATGGACCTGAGATTAACATGACAAGAAGCACTTTTTTACAGGTAACATTATTTTTAATCTGTGGCACTTTAAAGTTGTGTATTTTGTGTAGGGGTAAACTTTATTCCTTCCATTTTTCTAATGTGTTGTGTTGTGTATTTTGTTTTGCAAAATGTGATCCCCGTTAATTTACATTTAAATTAGCTTACTTAGTTGGGTATGTGTCAAGTTGATATGAGAAGATGGTGGAGTAAAATAACTATGTGGCCCGTGAAGTCATCATTATATAAAGATGTTGTCAGCTTACGCCAGATTTATCGTCCGCCACTCCTACCTTACTCTCTTCACTGTAACCGCGATCTCATCCATCCTTACTGTGATCCCACTGGTATGCCATGACTTACCATCATTTTCTGATCCCATAGTGGGTTTTGAAACGCGAGGAACCACCTTAGCTCATCGGTTTATTGCATGGGAGAATCTCATCGAAGAAACAAGACCTTCTCGAAGTCTCGCAGTGAATCCGAAAGAAATCGAGGATCAGATTCGCATGAACCAAACATACTACAACAGAACACGGCAGGACAGACCGAGGTCAGGTCGCGGCCGTTCTAAGAAAAAAGGACGTGACAAAAAGAAAAAGGTACATCACAACAACGACACAAATTTTGAAAAGAATTGGCCACTGGCAGAACCTAACATATCTAGTACCCATGTCCATTGGGGATTTGGAAAAAACAAAACATTTGAAGATGAAAATGCAGTCTTCCTAAAAGATCACACAAGAAAACAATGGGTATCTATTAAAGAAATGCAGCGTAAACCCGATAAACCCATAACCCACAACTATGCATCGGGAACCTGTGGACCACCCATATCAGATTATGCTCATTTAGTTATAACTAATACAGATAACACATCTTTATTAACATTTGAAAATGTAGAAAGGATGTGTAGACTGCAGTCCATGCTGGTAGAGCTTGGAGAAGCAGAATATTACAAAATGTGCCAAAGGGATCTACATTCTGAAGATGTCTGTTGCCCAGTGTGGAGTGTGCCAAACTACATAGCTTTAATGTCAGGCAAGACTTCCTGTGAAAATTTAAGTAGAGATGATGTAAGTAGTGCAGTTACTATCTTGAAGAAGTGCGCTGGCTACTTCCATAACTTCTCATTGATGGCCTCTTGTGACTTAGATAGGTGTAAAGTTCCCAAGTATTGTTCTCAGTATGATGCCATATATAACTTGTTATTTTATCTCATAGATTCACAAGCATTTACTCCGTCTGATCTCTCACAGAGTTTTGTTAGGAATGTCATGTTGTTTTTACCCTTGCCAAGCAGTAGCACCGTGTTACCTTACTATGAAATATTGCAAAGTTCAAATCTATCTTATGAGACACTTGTAATACCTGCCATGGACTTTGGACTGAAAAATGCACTTTTTGACTTATGGGTAATACAAGATACTTGGTTGATAGGCTTAGGAGGTCTCTTTGTATTTATGTGTGTGTGGGTCTATACAAAATCTATAATTCTTACTCTGCTGTTGTTTATAGCTATAACATATTCAATTGGTATAGCATACTTCTTGTATATCTATGTGTTCAATTTGGAATTTTTTCCCTTTATGAATTTATTAGTAATAGTTGTTGTGATAGGTATAGGGGCAGATGATGCATTCCTTTATGTCAAAGTTTGGAAAATGGCGAGCAAACAACTCATTCGAGATAATGTTGTTAGTCAGGAGAATGGTTTAAGTGACATAAAGAATGTATCCAGTGCAGGCGAAACTATACTAATACAAATACTTGTGGAGACCATGAAACACTCCATAACAACTATGGCCGTCACCACCCTGACCACAGCAGTAGCTTTCCTAGCCTCCTATGTCAGTTACATACCCGCTATAAACTGCTTTAGTGTCTTCGCAGGTACAGCTGTTCTAGTCAACTTTCTTTTAATGATAAGTATGTTGCCAGCGTCAGTATTTATTGTAGATGTTAAATTGTGTACAAATCGAAGAAAGTTTTTAGATGTAATTCACAAAAATATTAATGAATTTTGGGAAGATATCAGAGTGATGTTGAATGTATTTATTATAACATGTGTCACAAGATTGTACATAATGTTTGTTATAGTGTTGGGTGCTATTGGTATTGGCAGCCTTGTCGTAGTTTTCTATTACCCTGGCCTTCAATTGCCAGACTTAAAACAGTTCCAACTTTTTCAGACTTCCCATCCTTTCGAACAGTATGATATGGTGTACAGTAGCAAGTTCTTATTTGAGAGATTCGGAAAGGATATTGGTACAGGCAGCAAGATGCCTCTCAGATGGATTTGGGGAGTTAAAGCTATAGATAATGGAAATCACATGGATCCTGCTTCTAAAGGTCATATAGAATTTGATGGTAGCTTTTCAGTTTCGGAGCCTGATTCTCAAAAGTGGTTGGCTGGATTTTGTAATAGAATTAAAAAACAGCCATTTTTCCAACCAACTTTAGGCCCTCTACTCCCAAACTGTTTCATTGAGAGCTTCAAAATGTACATGAGCAGACGCTGCATTGACCATATTGACAAAATTAATAGAACACCTTGCTGTGAGACATCAGTGTTTCCTTATAAAAAAGAAGTGTTTGAATTCTGTATTATAAAGGCTATGGAGTCCTTGTACCAGACTCCTCGCGAATTGTTTATGCCTGGTGTGGCCGGTCCTAAATTTCTTAGAAGTGCCAATCCAACTGTCTCAGCAATTGTAGTCGAATTTGAGAGTATTGTGCCCTACTCTATGTCATATACGGAAATGGATTATTTTTATAGCCAAGTAGAAAATTGGACGCAACATGAATTGAAATATGCACCACCGGGAATGCAAAGTGGTTGGTTTTTGTCTGACTTACAATTTTATGATCTACAAAAAACATTAGCTAGCGGAACTGTGATTGCTCTTATACTCTCAGCTACATTAGGTTTTATAGTACTTGTACCGGCAACATTAAGCCTCGTGATTAGCTCATGTGCTTTAGTGGCCATGATATTTTCCGCAACTATAACTATAGCTATATTAGTATTAAATGGTTGGAAGCTCAATGTTTTAGAAAGTGTAGCAATATCTACTTCGGCAGGGTTAGCTGTGGATTTTAATCTTCACTATGCCCTTTCCTACGCTAATGCTAATGGAGCAAAGTCTGCGCGAGTCAAGTGTGCATTGTCGTCGTCTTCTGGTCCAACTGCGGCTGCCGCGTTGACGACTGGGTTCGCAGGAATATTTTTATTGCGCTCAAATCTCCTGCCTTATTCGCAGATAGGGTCTTTTCTAGCTCTGATAATGGTAGTCAGTTGGAGTTATGCAACATTCTTTTTGTGTTCTCTTCTGCAATTAGTTGGACGTAGCTCTGTGAAAGAATCTCCTACAGAGGAAAGAAAATCGGTATCGCGAGTAAGTTCTGTTTGCTCAGGTGTTCCCAATTTAGAGAGCCACGAGCTGGAGCACCTGGCAGACAGCAGTCGTACGAATCTCACGCACTCCCGCAGTCCCTCTAATGCTAGCGCCACTACCGTTGTTTTACACGATGACTACGATAATTCTCACAATAAAATTGTTAAGAAGTCTAGTGATACGAGTAATAATAAATTCTCCGAAAACGACTGAATGTTAGAACTAATTCGTAAGTAGCTAAGTAAGCCATATTTTGAAGTATTTTTGTGACAAACCAGTATTATTTTTTAACGTTTTTATTTTTGTTATACGCTGTTTTCTCTGATTTACTATTGTAGTTTGGTCTTTGTAAATACTCGTGACTTGTATTAAATCAATTTATAGGAATGATCGATGTGACAATAATTATCACATAAATATTCACATGGGACAATATAAGATCTTAACGAGCTTAGCTTGCATTTTGAGTTAAGTACCGTAAATGTGTTACTTATTCTGATCTCACGTGTGAATTAATACTACTAATTTTATTATGTACTGCTATAATTATTATACATAGGATCATGATCTGATGTACTTAATGTTAGACTTTACAATTCTATACATGTTTAAGTATTTAAATGTTACTTTGCACTGTTATTTCATTGATGTATTCTTGTTCTAAGCATATAAGTATTAATGTCAATTCACATTCACGATGAAATTGTTAAAATTAACTTTAAATTAAAATCTGTATGTATATTATCATATTAAAAATATGTATGATGTGCAGCTGTTAAATGATAATTATGAGATCAGGGCGAAAAATATTTAAATGGGCCCTGTGTTCTATCTCGAACTACTTAATTTACGAAAATAAAAATATATGTATTTTAATATTGAACGTCACAAAGAAGCGGGAAAATTTTGCTCAGTTGGGGTTTAGGCATTTACGTATTTTTTTATTTGAAATCTCACCGCGTGACTTCCCGCTTCGTGTGAATCATGTTTGTATAAGGATACTGCCATGCACACTACAATCCTACATTTATCATAAAATATTTTTCTCAAAGCTTATTCTCTCAAAATACAAAGTGTAAAAGTGAGTACAAATGAAGCTATTGAAGGTAGCTGTTAGGTGTAAGTACTTGATTTTAATTTTCAAAAATTGGCCTATTTGTTCTACTCCACTCCTAAAAGTAGTGTGGCCGTATCCTTAGTAATTCTCACATCAATGTATGTATTTAAATGTCGTAAGTGTGAAAACTTACGTTGTATTTCGTGAAGTACTTATTTTACAATGCCTAGAGCGTTAATCATTAAGTAAACTCAATTTACATTAGGCTAATTTAAGAAAATGCCTACATATAATACATAGCACAAAGTTTAAAAAACAAAATAATAAAATATTTTTGTTACGAAATTGTTACCATTTGATCATAGAATTTAACTATGATGCCTGTTATTAATATCGAATCAAATAGCTATACAGTTTGTAAAAAACGTAAGTTCGTTAGCATAATGAACTAAGAAACTAAGAAAGTATAAATTTCGGTGTATAATACCTAAGACGTAAGATTTTTTACTAATCAGATGTATCGAATGTTGACTAACTACTAATACTCTTTAGTGTACCTAGATAATAGATCAATGGTCAGCTACACAAGGTAGCGTAACATAATAGTATTATAATTGTGTAAGAAACGAAATAAAATGTTAATTTTTATAAGAGTGTTGTTTTAATTTTTTTCAAATTCCTTGGAATTAAACAAAATAATAGTGCTCCGCACTGTTAAATTTTTTTAAACATTATTAAACAATTTACTCTACAAATTACTCAAAACGGTTATTTAAATTTTCATTTAATATTGCATCACGCTTATTAAATAGTCTTCGTAGAGATGGGGATATGGTCAAAAACCAAATAGAGCCTTCTACAAACCAAATAACTCAGCAGTCGTACAACCAGCGGTCAAGCAAATGAAATGGAACTGCGCAACGTTATTACGCCTAGTCCTTTCCATCATCGTACCACAAGACAATCGGTAAAGCATCACCGATTCATGGTAGATGTCCCACCTACACGCAAGAAGCGCTTCGCATCAAGCTTCCTTGTTCGTACTGTTAAGGAGTAAAATTCTGGTCGCGCTGTCATTGCCCCTCTTTGAGGAGTGGCTTGAGAGACGCTATGGCGTATTCGCCTACCGCCTGACGCAAGTGCTTACCGGACATGAGAGCTTCGGAATGTACCTGTGTTCAGGTTCTGATAAGGTGGAAGGTAACGCCCGGTGTCATCACTGCAAGTACCGCCTCAGGACGTTCCACCGTGTCCTCAGGGACACGGTGGGGGCATGCCCTGCTGGGCTCAACACCGCCGTACCCTCAGAGATGTGATCGGCGACCTCGACCTCTCGCGTCTGGCCCTTGTCCGGGCCATGATGCGTAGCGAGGAAGACTGGGATGCCGTCTCCTCCTTTTGCAAAGCAGTCATGCTAACTAAAGAGGAAGCGGGGCGCGTGAGGCAGCGAAGCGCTGCTTCCTGACAGCCCATCCGTCGTGAAGGACACTCCGGGCGTCGGGGATCGCAGGGCGCTCGCGTTTCGCGCTTGCCTCAAAGAGCCATCAGACCACCACGTTTGCGGCCCAGTAGGGATAATACCGATACCGAGCTGCGGAGAACGTAAAAGGGAGACGTGCAGGAGAAGGAATGGAGTGGTTTTTAGTCAGTAAGAGTCTGACACACCCTACCGCCTCACCCAGGCATATTATCCACAGTATTTTTTTTAATATTTCAATATTTTGTTTTGAAGGCACTTTTGAACGTTCAAAAGTGCCTCCTGGTCTAATTGAAATAAATGATTTTGACTTTGACTTTTATCTCATGAGATGTTGAACATGGGCAACAACATTGAAATCAATCGAATTACTTCAGTTTAAGTTAATTTTAAGTTGTGCATATTTATAATTATGTTTTTTGAAAATGTGAAAATTTATTTTGTTGAAGTACTTAATTTTACGTCACTTGTAATAACTAAACGTTATATTGACAACTTTGCACAACAATATTTGTTTTTCGAAATTTTAGCATATTCTTATGCCATCCTTGTCACACAAGGTGTAATTGGCGTATGCTATCTTGTTGTCAACAGTCTTATTATCATTTGACATTGACAGCAATATTTTATCGTCTGGAACGCCCGTTTCAATGATTCGTGCGTGCGGTGATTCATACATTGCAAACAATAAATAAATTTACGCGTTAGTCATTCGTAATCTCTTGCGAATTAAAAATTATTGTTAAATATTAACTATATTCAAAATGTTTTCCACAAATCCTAACTACACTAAGCTCAAAACTCACTTGAGACTTGCTATAAATAGGCTGAAATTGCTAGAGAAGAAGAAAACGGAATTAGCTCAGAAAGCCAGGAAGGAAATCGCTGAATATATTGCTGCTGGTAAAAGCGAGAGAGCTAAGATACGCGTGGAACACATCATCAGGTGAGTACATTGAATAATTGTATAGGAAATGGATTAAAAGTCTCCAAACAAAGTTGTCCTTGAGACAGATTTTTTATCACTATGTACAAAATAACGCATTGCGTCATGGTGTAATAGGCAGGGCAGGACTAGTTTAATAGACTTAATGGCTGATGTCTGTGATTTAATCTGTTTGAGAATAACTTCATTATGTTGACACACAAAGACAACTCTACAACAACTGTACATTACATATACAATATGATATATAGTTGTAAAAATACTTAATATTGAAATGGATTGTTGTAAAACAATGTATTTGTTATTGTGCCTCAAATAGAGATAAGAGTTTAACTTGTTTATAAAAAATACGAATGATGCTTCTTACAGAGAGGACTACATGGTGGAAGCTATGGAAATAGTGGAGATGTACTGTGACCTCATACTGGCAAGGTTTGGCCTTGTGACCCAGATGAAGGAGCTTGATGAAGGACTTGCTGAGGCGATCTCCAGCCTCATATGGGTTGCTCCTAGAATGCATACTGACGTTCAGGTAGAGAGACAACTCTAGAATTATTTGTTCTACTTATTTGAAATTAATTCATTTTCACAATTATTGAGCTTTATCATAATATCTGATAAGTTGAACTAGACTACTAACTAGAATGCATACTGACTTTCAGGTAGGGAGACAAATGTAGAATTATTTGTTCTACTTATAGGAAATTAATTCATTTTCACAATAACTGAGCTGTATCATAATGTCTGATATGTTTTTGTTAGTCCAACTGACAGATTACTACATATATTTTCCTAGTAAATTGTTTCTTATTTATGCTAACAGCTACTTAATCAGATATTGTGAAACAGACCCGAAAAACCCAAATGATTGAACTTTTTTTTGGTATTTGATGGGGCGACGTTTAACTACTATCTAAATAAATCAAATAAGTAATTGGTTCTTTATGACAGTCCTTAGCTAAAATTTCAATCTTATTGGATGTTAGTGGACAGTATAGTTTCTTTTTTAATCTGTCAAACACCAAGCGGTCACCGGTGACCGCAACCTATTGTTCTTTAATTGTGTCTATAAAAGCGGTACTCGACGAGTTAAATAGAAACTTATTAGAGTAACTACTTCTAAATAACAGTATTCATAAAGGTTATTATTAAAGATATATTTCTTTACAGGAACTGAAAATAATATCAGACCTACTCACAGCAAAATACGGAAAGATCTATGCGGATGCCTGTAGAAATGAAAATGTGAATACTTTGAGTGACAAATTGAAACACAAGATGTCGGTACAAAGTCCGCCTAAGATACTTGTCGAGAGGTACCTGATAGAGATAGCTAAGAATTATAATGTTGAGTATGTACCTGATGAACAAGTTATGAGGGAGGAAGAAGGTATGTATTGCTTTTGTGAGATGTATAACTATACTAGCTTTTACCTGCGACTTCGCCCGTGTTTTGGTGGAAAAATAAGTAAGCCTATGAGTTATTCCAGACCGTAATCTATCCCTGGTCAAAATTTCAACCTGATCACTACAGTCTAGGGGCTCGCCCTATGCCCCATCTAGGGGACATATAAACTTAAGTCAGTAGTTCAGCCTTTTAGACTGATTACTTAATAAACGTATTTATAATATTAGTAAGATTGTTTATCTTATCTAGCTATAAAGCTAGATAATAGTACTAATTGTAGTATAGGATTTGAAGATTTCTTTTAATTGTCAGGCCAGATTCTGGTCGAGCTTAATTTAATGTTGCCTCATGCATTTAGTTTCTTATATTTCATTTTGCTGATTCATACATGAAGTAGGTATAAATAGAACTTTTTAAATAAACATTAATGAATCTTTTGGATATAAAATCATCAGACAACCACAAAATGACCTTTGAAATAAACATAACATAACATCACGCCTTCCGCCATAATATCCCCGAAGGGGTAGGCAGAGGTGCACATTATACCACTGTACAATGTAACACCCACTTTTCACTATTTATGTTATGAGTCCCATGTAATAGTTGAGTCCCATCTAAATGTTAATATACTTTTTTATTAGAGTCCCATGTAATAGGGGTTGAGCCTATTGCCATATACCGGACACAATTCCAGAGTCCGTGCTACTACTGAGATTTTTATTAAAAACCCAGCAATACTTTTCCCGACCCCGGAAATCGAACTTGAGACCCCTTGCCCGGCAGTCGCACTTGCGACCACTCGGTCAACGAGGCAATCTTGAAATAGAACATCAATTTATAAGAATAAACCGTCAATTTTATCATACATTTTTAATTCACAGGTCGGGACGCAATGTTAATAGACATTAACGGTCCTCCAATGCCGCCTGGTTTCATTGGTTACCCGCAGCAACCAACTATGACCATGCCCAACCTGCCGCCGCCGCCACCACCAACAGTCACTCCGTTTGCTTATCCTTCTGTGAGTATAATTTTGTTATTTGTGAACTTGCTTACTTGACATTATGTTAGCAGCTAAATAATTAGTGGTCTTTTGAAAGTACAGCTGATCTCCTCATAAACAACATTCTTAAACTAAAAAAATCATATTTAGAGTTGCATCTTCAACATCTTTTCTTTTCTAATTGTTTTTTATTATTTGAATTGGTATCTGAGTTTCGAAACTTTTATTATAGGTAGATGTGTAGTGTGTAGTACCTCAAAAGAATTTTATTAACATTCGCTTAACGTAAGCATTTATTTATGTGTGACTAGCTTTTACCCGCGGCTTCGCTCGCGTCACAAAAGGATAAAAAGTAGCCTATGTGACATATACCAATACACACGGCGCCATCTATACCAATAATTTCGTTTTCCTTCGAGAATATCAAATTTTTCCGAGATAAAAAGTTTACGTCTGCAAAAATTCAATGCAATCGGTTTAGTAGTTACGGCGCGAAAGTGGAACAAACAAACAAACAAATTCACTTTCCGATTTATAATATTAGTAAGGATTAACTATGTTAAATATTCAGGTTTGAATTGATATCAATAATGAATATTTTGTATCCAGTTGTTGATTCATGGCACTTGAAGTTTAAACACTTCTTCTACACTGTGTACTCAATATCTTAATTCAATTACTATGTTATTCCCCATTTACAAATGAAATCAAAACTTAAACTATTAATAGAACTGGACTAATTACTCTTGTAAGCTCTTGTTAGTTCCTATTCCGTGTGCCGTAATTACTTTATTCATGCTGGCTATCACCGTTATTACAAATAACTGAAAACTGCTTTTAGATTGTATGTAGTATGAAACCACAGTAGAATTAACATAACATAACATCAAGCCTTTTATCCTTGAAGGGGTAGGCAGAAGTGCACATTATGCCACTGTACAATGTAACACCCACTTTTCACTATTTATGTTATGAGTCCCATGTAATAAGGGGTGAGCCTATTGCCATATACCGGGCACAATTCCAGACTCCGTGCTTTGAGGTACTTTGTCCAACCCGGGAATCGAACTCGAGGCCAACGAATCAGTCAGTAGAATTAATAATAAAATAATACCATTGCTTTTATCCACTTTCCCAGATGTTTTCACAGCTAATATTTCTGTTAGCTAATTTTGTGACTAATTTTCACCTGTAGCAACCATCGGGCGGGAAAGTAGGTGGTTTTATCGCGACACCGCCGGCTTCGTATGGCGGGCCCAGTCAGTCACCAATGGGCTACCATCTACCTCCTGGAGTCGATTCTAAATCCTTAAGCAATAGCTTCTTGCAGGTAATCATACGAAAAACAAGATAAATTATATTGAAAAGCAAAATTCCTTTTGAAAATTAATGTGAAACGTAAAGTTAAACTTTGAATAGTATTACCGTAATGAAATTAATGTTAGTTGCTTGGTGTTGCCATTTTAAAAATATAAAATTCTCCCAATTGTTCCTAATTTATTATTTTGCCATTATTTGTTACTAAATATTTATGTTTATTTTCTGTTAATATTGTAAACTAATGCTATAAAACGCATGTTTGAGAGTTTGGCTTGAAACCACTTTATTCGTTTTTCAGGATGAAATGAGCAATCTACCTCCTGCTTATGACAGCATCCACCATGATTTGGTACCTATTTTCTTTTTATTATTTTTTCGCTTTATATTTCACCGCATGAATTACATTACCTGTACCTATGGTAGTGCAAGTACCACTATGTATGTGTGCACATAGAAAAGCTTGCTTTAAAGTTATTGTTATGACATAACTCTTACGAAGATTGAAAGCAATCAATATTTACCAGTATTTAAAGTCATATTGAATTTGAATCATAGGTACTCGAATTACGTTTATATTACTCTAATTTCTCCTCATCTTTCTTCTCTTTTCATAGTTTTAATTAACCTACTTTATCGATATAAAATGTAATCCTCTAATCTTATTTCCAGCCGCCACACGTCCCGAGTCCACCAGCCCCGAACGTGCCGACGCCGCAGCCCCGCTCTCGAGTCCCCCCCAACCCGAATCACTTCCCAGAGCTCCCCGACCTGCCATCGGTACCATCAGACCTCATCCTCCCATCAGTGCCTCACAGTAACAACTCAAATACTTCAAACAATCATCCCAACGCGCCCAATGCCCCTGATGAAATAGATTTCGATGATCTGAACCGTCGCTTCGAAGAGTTGAAAAAGAAAAAATAAGTTAGAATAAATTGCCAGTCACTTGAGATGCGGGATTTGGAACGTTTCTACTTGAAGGATAGTTACTATTTTTGCCTTATAATGGATATTGTCTATTTGTGAGTAGATTTAGTTACTAAATAGCTGTGCCCGCGACTTCGTTCGTGTGGAATAGTGATGTACTGCGCATACCCCGTAGGTGATAGCGTGGTAATATGTAGCCTATATGTTGACCCGACCCGTTAGTAATAATCATACAAAATTTGAAGTAAATTGTGCAGTACTTTTTGAGATCATCCCGGACTTACATACAGAAAAATAGACAAAATTTTTAAAAACCATATTTTTGGCTTCAGTATCGACTGTAGAACACGCCCCAAGTATTTTTTTTTAAATATTCAATGTACAGTTTTGACTTTTCTACGATTTTATTATATGGATAGATAAAGAGATTTTTCAGATGCATTAAGACAGAATTAAATCGTGTCTTTTTGCATTTCATTGTGTCTGTATTGCCACGAAAAATGGGCGTTATTATCATAACGCCTACAACTATTTACTGCAATGTAAGTTGTCAAATATATTTTATCTCTAGTTGCTAAATCTACCGATAGATAGGTTAGACAATGGTCGTAAATGTATCGGAGTGTACCGAATTGTTTATTTTTATTAAAAATTCTTTTGAGATTAGTATGGTCACAAAACCCGCAAGTATACGACTGGCCTATTATAAGATTAGCCGACGCTCACTTTTGAATCTGAATTTATATAAGTGTTGTTAACAGTATTTGTATTAAAAGAGCATCGATAGTTTTGTACTTCTGACACCGAATGAATTAAATTCTTTGGTTAAATTTATTAAACGACTAGTTGGCATACAACCAATAAGCAATATTAAAATCTGTGTATGTGATATTTTGTTCAAAATTCCACAATTAAAGATGTATGTAACCAATAATTATAAAATCGATGCTTTAATGATCAAAACTTTGATTTTCGGCATTAGTAAAGTAATTGATATTCATTTTCATTCATTCGGCTACGTCTTTGCAATCTTTGCGTTGTGGCACTGAAACAAAATCGAATCGAATAAGTCACACGCATTCTCATAAAAACATGTGTTTTTAATTTATTTTGAACTTTCCTTTTATGTTAAAGGCTCGAGCAGACTGGATGCGTGTGCGTATACGTGCACGTACCATTGAGTTTATGTATAAAACTACACGCGCACGTAAAGAATCACTAATTCTAACTTGTCTTTAATCACACTCAACAATTCAAAGTTAGAAAAAGAGACAGAAAGATTGCAAGATTTGCAGTCAATTCTCAAAACTCGATAATTTGAAATACTCGAGTTAAAATTAACCATAGTCGACTGTATTACAAGTTGTGGTACGTGCACGTCTATGCATACGTGTCTGGTCTGCTCCAGCCTTAAGACTGGTCGTCATGGCGATTTCTTATGTAAAATATTATGTAACTATTTTTTATCCACCTTTTTTATTTACTCTGGCATTTTGCCTATAATTATCTGTAACATAATGTGATTGCTATGTTGATATAAATAACGTAACTTTTAACTGTTGTTCTAATTTAACTGTTACATAATAATTAGGTATGTAATTGTAAAACGTGTTGGAAGAATGGAATGTACTTTCCAAGAAGTCAATATTTATTTCAAAATGTCAAGTTATGACGTCATATTCTTTACGACAAAGTCTGTACTCATTTCTTGAAATAAATAAGAAATATACAGATGAAATTATGTCTTGCAATCAATTAATGAAACTGAGGTTATTTTTCAAATATTTTATTGCATAAAAAGTCGAAGAAACGACTTGTTTTTGACTAAGGAAGCTACCTAATTCTATTCTTCTAAACAACATTTAGTCTTCATCAGAAATGGATAAAAATCTAGTAAAATATTAGGTATGTGTAAAGTATAGGTTATGAAATAAAAGAGTTTTATTTTAATATTTTATACAATTTATTATTATTGCTGCAATGTCTGGTATCAAACCACGCTTCCATTGATGGCGGGTAGCAAGTGAATGTACATTATCAAATACAATACATTTCATCTATTACTGTGTTTTATTCAACTATTTAGTTAATATATTATGTAATAAAAAATAGACTTAACTGGGCACAGTGTCAACAGTTCATAATCCATATATTTTATATTGTACGATTTAAAACAAGGACCATAGTCATACACAACAATGGAGTTTTAAATTATTATAATATTTTATCTATAATTTTGTCCTCGCACCCATAGGATAAAGTAGGGTTAAAAGATAATATTATTATTTTTGTAGAATAAGATAGCCATGTAACCCTAATTGAAGGCAATATCGATGCAATTGCTAATTATTGCTTTTTTGTGACAAACTCACCACTTCCAACGGGGCCTACCGTATTGTGCTGCTTACCAATTGGCGCAAATGTAGCAAAAGGATTTGTCGTCCAATCACAGCATCTATCAAATATAGAACGTCCAATCGTGTGACACTAGCTAATTCCGTATTAGTCGAAGAACTAGAAGTTTACATTAACGTCATTTGGTGAGCAAAAATACAGAAGCCCCCATTGGACATAATCTGAAGGAACATAGATAAAAAAAGCGCCAACATAAAGCTAAGATCAGCTATTCAAATCCGGAGCACAAATGTCAATATGAACATACAAAAATGATCTTTTAAATCTAATAATATAAATAACAGCCTTATAAAGTACTTGTGTAAGTTTTGTTCATAAGAGACTGAGTACTTGTTGCGACAGTGTTGCTATTTTCGCGTAATTCTGGTCCATAGTGTTGCCACTATCCTTTTTCAGCCTGTTATGTACTTGGCTGCTGGATACTACTCTTGCCTGAATTTGTAGCTTGTTTGGAGATTCCGCTAGAAGAGTGCCGAGTGCTACTAAACCTCTGTAATGATAATAAATAAACCTTTTAAGGGACGATGACCACCAATAGAATAATATGTTATAAAATCAGAATGGGCTTGGAATATCTCTCTGGACACTTTATTCTAAAGAAAAGGCTGGGTAAAATAATAATAATTTTGATGTCTCACTCCCCCCCCCCCCTTCCCAATTACATGGCACTTATATATAATGAAAAGTGGGTGTTACATTATAATGTGCACCACTGCCTACCCCATCGAGGATAAATGGCGTGATGATGATATAATGTTGACGTTTTTAACAGTAAAGAGGTGTTGTGAAAGTAAATATATTACCTGAAATATGCTTCATTGTCCGTAATCTTGGGCAGCAGTTGTACCAAGCAGTCTGCGAGGTCCACACTGTCGGGTTGTTGCGCCAGCGCTACTGACAGGTTCAAGACCAACGATGTCGCTGCAATCTGTTGTAAAAAAATTAAATTTGATTCCGCCATTCGGTCTTGGCTAATAAATTCTTCATTTCTAGAGAATATAACATACCTGAGCATTATTATTGAGTTGTGAGAGACATATGAGAGAGTGCACGACACTCTCCCTGGCGGCCAGGACCAGCATCTCTCCGGGGAGGTCACTGAATGCGTTCACTAACACTCGCATCGCTAACATCTGGTTGGCTGGGAGGTTATCTGTAAAGATAATAAGAGAAAAGTCAGTAAAGAAATTAATTTTTTACATCTCTTTTTATTTTCTTTAAAAGAGTGTTCTAGGGACGTAATTAACTATTCAAAATAAAAAAAAACACCAGTCTTGCTGTACGTCTGATTGTGAATGTAGTCCAATTTTGGCTAAGTCAGTATTCACATGCAATATATGAAAGAAATAAATACATGGATAAAGTTCAAAAACATTTTTTTTAGGAGGAAATCATCAAATTACTTCAGTTCAGAGTGCCAGATTCTTACTGACTAAAACCACCCCATTTCTATGCCTGCATTTCGAGCCGGAGAACCGGTAACTTTTTTAAACAATGTCATAAAAGTGCATATAAAAATGTCCACATACCTGGTCCTAAGAGAGACAGAAGATATTTGATGAACGTTGCGCCGTAAGCCGTGTCGAATATCTGGCCGTTTATTTCTTTATTCCTAACTGCTAACCTAGTTACGTCCAATACTGGAAATAGTATTTCTGTAAAAGAAAATATATGATTAATATCATCGATGGCTAATAACTCAACAGCTTATGAACCCCTATTGTGGTTTGAAACTAGTCGACATCTTCGAACAGTGACGTGCAGAATAATCTGCAGTCAAATAGCATGTCTCACGATAATTACAATAAAAATATTGTTTACCTTTGGGCCATTCCAGCATTTTCTTTAGTATCAATATGGTTTCATTGTTGTACGCATTATTCTGTAACAAAAACAATATTTTAATTATTATTATTAATTAATAACTTGCAACACTTAAAGAGTTACGAGTGTGTTGCCAGCCTTCTGGTGTATAGGATGGGGTTTTTTGTAGGTATGGGGTATTTCAGCATGATGACGATCAACGTAAAGATGGACAATATTGGCTCTGTTAGAAGATACAATTATACATACAGATAAAAGATAAAACACAATGTTATCTACATAACTATTGTCTTGTAAGATAATGATTACTATCTATGGAGACATACAATAACGAGGTATTTAATTATACAATGTTACTGGATAACTGGTTACCTGGTTGATCGAGTGGCCGCTACCGACTACCGAGCATGACATTTCGTTTTCAACAACCTGGTCGGAAAATACAATACTGCTTTTCAATTCATTGATCCATCTTCAAACAACGAATTAAAATTAAAACTTTACTTTTTAGTAAGAAATTCTTCAGAATATTGTCTATTAACACTATGGCGAGTTCCTAAATGCGCGTACATTATACATTGGTCGACCAAATAATCAAACCTCGAGATATCAGGCTCGGCAGTGATTATTGGTTAAAACTTATTGCGGCCACTCGACCATCATCATGATCATCCATCTGTAGACAACTTCTGAACGAAAGCCTATCTTATAAGTGGATTTGGTTTATTACTTAACTGAACTAAGACTGAATGAGGGGAATCATTCAGTCTCAGTCCAGTTAAGGAATGCTGCTGCCTATTCCTCGGTAGCTGGTCGCAATATTTAGGACATAAAGGGGACCCTCTGTTCACATACTAGATATATTATGTAAATCTCACCGGTTCACACAATTTGACGACACTTTCCAGCTGTTCGTCAGTGAGTGCGCTCAGTCCGTCTCCTACTTTACTGTTGAACTCCTTCAGCTTGTCGTGTATCGCTTTCAAGTTGGCTTGATCGAACCTAAAATAATTCATTTTTGTAAAAACAAATATGTATAAGCATCACGCATTTACTTGTATTACAACTTTCGTGAGACATACTTGATAAATATTATGTTTTCGGCTTATTCACGTAATGCTGCAAATGCAGGTTTGTCGCAAAATGTTGCTCATGTGAGCCTTTAGCATTGTAAATTAACCTTACCTAATATAAGCATCGTGAGGTATCAGCATTTTCTCCCTCGATGTAGTGGTACTGGCAGTAGTGTACGCGCCGGCCCCCGTGAATGGGTCGGCGTGGGAGGGCGGCGGCAGGCCCGGGACTGAACCAGAGCCCGGCACATAACGAGACTCGCCTGTAAACGGATCCGCGAAACTGGGAAAGCATAAGGGAAATAGTTAAATCATTATTATTAGAAATGCAAGTACACAAAAATTAATAATAATTGTTTATTTTCGACTTTATTTTGAGACATAAAAGTTTTGTATCATTTAATTCAGAGTAATCACAAACTGCTACTCTTTTTATTACTTAAAGATTAAGGAGTATGATCACAATGTTCCATGCAAATTCTATGTTAAGTATCCATCTTATTACTTAGCTTCTAATGACAATAGTTTGGAACTTACCCATTACTTGATACAGGTTGTGAATCCAATTTAGCGTTAGTAATAATAAAGTTCGCGACCTGCTCCAAATATACTTGAGGTAAATTGTTTCTGAAAAAATAATATAATATGTTTATAGTACAATTTATAGGGTAGTTTTCTAAATTTTATTTTAATGTCAGTCTGGTACTTTAATTTCAAACTTTAGACACGTATTTTTTTTCTCAAAAAATTCAATACTTTCGACGATATATTAATTTGAAATATCGTGTGACGTCACAGCGTGGTAAATTTTGTAGCACGTTATGACGTAACAACCTCACACTCCTAAACTTAGCATCATTTTATCTAAGTGTTGCAACTTAATACGAGAAAATAAAAAAAATACATGTCTAATATTTTGTCATTATCTAACTGACGGACTAATTAGATTTTTAATTTTGATACCCTGGAAACTACCCATTTTATAGAAGAATGAATTACAATAGCTAAATAGGCACAAAAATACAATTACTTGTGTATAAAGGCTTGAGCGGCAACCCAAGGGTCTTCAGTCTTGTTGAATGGGAGTTTTATTGGAGGCGCACCGTCCTTGATGTCCACGCTGAATACAAAGTCGTACTCCTGGTAAATAGAAGTTTTATATGAAGTTTGAAATATACAAGTGAAGCATTATACGAAGGCATCTCATTTATTAATCTTATATTAATATTATTATATTAGGCTGAAGAGTTTGTTTGTTTGTTTGAACGCGTTAATATCAGGAACTACGGGTATGATTTAAAAAAATATATTTGCATTGGATGATACATTTATCGAGGAAAGCTATATAATCACAGACATCAAGTTATGATCAATAGGAGCCGAGCAGAGCGGGTAAAACCGCGCGAAGGTACTAGTACTTAATAAAATTACTGTTCTGACACATTTTTCCTGATGCGCCGCCAACGAACATCATACCTCATGCAGTTGCAGTTCGTAGACAATAAATATAAGTAAGACATTGTATGAGCCTTAATTCCTTATAAATCAATATGTTAAATGGTTGTGTAAGTAGCCATATCAGGCCAAAAAGCAATATATTAAACAATATAATCTAACACAAAAGTTCATCAACGCTGATAGTTTTTAAAATAAATAAAATTAACCCGTATATCCCCAAGCAGTCACCGGTGACTGCTCGGCACTAACTACATTATAGACCTTATTTCCAATGTTTAGAGACTACTTTTGTATGAACAAATTTAGGGGATGATTTTCAACAATGTTCTACGGGTTAATAATATATTACCTTCCCCTGGTACATAGTCTTCCCCTCGCTAGAAGGCGGTGTCCCCATGACGTCACCGATCTCGTTCCACGTGCTCTCCGCGGCGCTCCACGAGTAACACTTGACGTTGGTGCCGCGACGGACTAGTTTCGTCTGTCCATCTGTTTTGCCTGGCTCTAGGAGGACCTCAGGACCTGGTAATCTGAAAAAAAATTTATATAATATCATACATAATAACATCACGCTTTTTATCCCCGAAGGGGTAGGCAGAGGTGCACATTATGCCACTGTACCATGTAACACCCACTTTTCACTATTTATGTTATGAGTCCCATGTAATAGGGGGTGAGCCCATTGCCATATACCGGGCACAATTCCAGACTCCGTGCTACTACTGAGAATATTTATAAAACCCAGTAATACTTTGCCCGACCGGGAATCGAACCCGAGACCCCTTGCCCGGCAGTCGCACTTACGACCACACGGCCAACGAGGCAGTCTCAATAAATACATACATTTTCATAACATCATAACAATCATAACACATACGTTTTCTTTCTCCCATGAGGGTAGGCAGAGACTATGGAACGCCAATTGCTATGGTTCTTAAATACCTCTTTTATCTAACAATAATTAATGTGTATGTATTTTTAACTCACACACTTGCATTTTTTTATGGGACAAGGTGGCCCTGTAACATTAAATGAAAGTTTCCTTACTCAGATAATTTGAATCCTCCAATCTCCTGTTGAGTGGCTGCCTGCATCTTGGCGACATCTTCCTCGAACTGCTTGAGTGTGGCTTCGTCCGCGTACCTCGCCGGGTCCTTTGTGAATACTCGTACTACACCATCACTGGAACCTGTTTGTATAAAACGAAGATATTTTATATTAAAACTTTCGTGAGACATACTAAATTAATTATTATGTTTTCGGCTTATTGGCTTGAAACTAGTCGAGTTCCTCGTCAAACGTGAGTAAGCCGAAAACATAACAATTATCGAAGACATTTTATTTGTCATTGTTAACAAGTAAAGTAAGGTAGGTACTGAATGATGAATATTGCATCCTGACAAATAATATTTGAATTGTGAAATGTAATTTTGTCATACTATCAAACCTTATTCGCCAAAGAAATGTTATGTAGGTATGGCATGTTCGAAAACCTTTGCTTTTCTTCTTTGAAATGAAGTACTTATCACACTCAAATATTTTAATTATTTTTCTACATTCAAGTTATAGTATCTAGTTTTCATTTAGCAATTAACAAATCTACTACTACTACGATACTAAGATTACCTTGTAATATATAAAATAATTTCTACATACCAGTAACAATATCTCCGTTGTCGAGACACGTGATGCTCCAGACGGATTGCACCGGCAGCCTGATGTCCCTGACGCAGTCCCCGCCGGCCCACAGCCGCACCGCGCCGTCCTCGCCACACGTCGCGAAACCTTGCTGCACTACTGGGTTCATGCTGATACTGGAAGATAAAACATGTGAAATTCAGGATCAGAAGTTAAAAGCCTTTTGTTTAGTAGTCGACGTGAAATTGTTTTTTTTTTAAGTGGGAATAATGATCGAATTGCTTCTCCCGCCTGGGTGAAGCGGGAGGGAGTGTCAGACTCTTACTGACTAAAAACCACCCTGTTTCTACTTCTGCCCTTCGAGCCGGAGCCCCGACAACCCATCAAGTCCTCCGCGGCTATAGGGACCCATCCCCTTTGAGGCGCGCGCAGAACACGACGCGTCACGGGTCTGGTTCTGGTCGGGCGGCGAGTCACCCATTCTCGCCGTCCGCAAGCCCGTGCTTACGGTGGCCGGAGATCGTTCCGCGGCCGTGAAATGGATAAGGTGGTCTTTGAACAGTCGTGTTTCGCAAGCAGGTTGAGGATTGTAGTTAGGTCACCTAAATTTTTCCGTGTTTTGGTGGCTGACATGCATAAACCTTGCTATAAAAACATGGCTCATATGAAGGAGTCACCAACATTACTAACAAGGCAAGATTTGATGTCCAAGTCAAGTATTATTTGGCTTCTCTGCAATATTTGGAATTTTACTAATGTGTAAGTACTTAATTATTTACCTGTAGATATAGTTAGAATGTCCATAGAATGTGTTAAGGCACTGCCCCTTGTTAGTCCAGTGTTTGATGGATGCATCATTTGAACAGCTGAGGAAAGTTTCAGGGTTGGCTACTGCCAGATCTCTGACACAATCTGTGTGGCCTGGAAACATAGGAGGACACAAATCAGTATGGTATTTATATGGCAATTATTTCACTGTCTATGAAATAGGACACCTCTGCTTACCCATTTAGGGAGTAAAATATGAGTAATTAATGTTACATTCATGTACTAGAAAAAAAAACACCCATTAAATAATAAAATAAATTGTTAAAAGACTGCTCCCGCCTGGGTGAGGTGGGAGGGAGTGTCAGACTCTTACTGACTAAAAACCACCCCGTTCCTTCTCCTGCACGTCGAGCCGGAGCCCCGGTTACCCGTTAGGTTCTCCGTGACTCCGATGCACACATATGCTAATGTTTCAAGTATTCACCACTGCAGAATTTCTATCATACAAAAAACAACACTAATTTACATACACATAAGAATCATATTGTTCTACTGACCAGTCAAAGTGCTAATGATAGTTCCATCTTTCTTCCACAGCTTAATGGTTTTGTCAGCAGATGCTGTAGCGTATGTATCGTTGAACAGTTCCACGGCTGCCCACACGGCCGCCTGGTGGCCTTTGAGGGAGAGTGGAGGTAAGCGACTTGCATTTATGTTCCATACTTTCGCTGTACTGTCCCAACTTGAACTGTTTAGAGAAGTAAGATATTTAATTAGTATGATTTAAAGGTTAAGCAAAAGACATCTCAACTTTTAATAATATATTCAGATTCATTATTTACGTAATAAGGATGATATGAGGCACTTAAATAACACTACCAATTAAAATAAAGTGAACAAAAGAAAAGAAGAAAACAAACTAAAAATATGACTAACTGCTAAATGTGTTATTGAGGGCCAATTTTTTTCAATGCAAGATAAATTTTAATGGTGAAATATCTTTGAATATTTCACAATTGTTCCATACTAATATGAGGTAATCAGGATTCCACCAAGTAATCCGTTTGCTTGTTTGCCTCCTATTCCATAAAAAAACTAATAAACTGTCAAAGGTTAATTTTATTCTACAGTTCAGAATTAACTGATGGTTGAAAAATCAGCTCTAAGTAGATAAATCAAATATCATATTTGTCTGTGTGGCTCTTATTAGAATTCTTGAATCTTTATGGTATATGACAATTTATATTTTTAAAGGTGAAAACCTAGGATATGTTTCTAGATAAAAACAACAAAGCTATTAAAAGCCTTCTATCTTGGGAATTCAATGTTTCAATACAAATCAACTCTATCTTCACTATCTGTGTAGTGAAAAAGAAATCTTATAAGCTTTTAACTGTTGATTCTGGTTACATTACAAGTCTTTAAGAATATCTAATTAGAATTTTTACTATTGTAGCATCCTTAAACATATAATAATGTTGTATAATCAATATAAAATACAAATGTTTTATCTACAGAGTGCAAATATTACAAAGCACGCAACACAAAACACTAGACAGGGTAAAAAAGATTTATCTACTTGTCTATGAAAACAAAGGAAACTAACCTTAGTAAAATTCCAGAATCTCTCCCAGGTGTTACACTACACACAGCGTTTTCGTGACCTTCCAGTGTCACCTGGATCACGCCGTCCTGCAGGTTATACCCTAGTATTGTATTGTCATTGCTCCCCGTCACAACCAAACCGTCGGGATACGCTTCACAAGGAGGCAACCAGCACACACACGACACAAAATTCCTGTGCCCTTTATACGTCACTACGTTCACAAAGTCTTTAACTCTGAAACAGAAACCTTTTGTTATATCTAAATCAAGTTCTAACAATGTAACGGCACTGAAATAAATACTTACCCTTCCGGATGCCAAAGCTTTGCGGTCCTGTCGCGTGAAGCAGATAATATACAAAATTCTTTTGTCGTAGCCACACATCGCACGTCCAGGGAGTGCCCGCATAAAACAGCACTTAATTTATAATCAGGAACAGCCATTGGAAAACGTATTTTATTTTCAAAATGCTGAGAAAAATCAGAAACAATCGCGGCGAACAAAAGTTGTCATGTCATGTCATGTTGACGTTGCTGTCAACAATCGTCTGCAACTGAGTTTTTTATTGTTGGCAGCAAAGGCATTTTAGTAAAATAATTCATTTTAATTAAATGAATAAAATAAGTAGTTTTAAGTGTAATTAAGTAAAAATTGCATTCAAATAATTATTTTGTTGTAGTATAGTTCTACTATTGTATTAGTATAGTAAGCCTCTAAAATTAATTCATCTTATCATTTTGTTGTCTGTTTCTAAACGAAATACACAGTAACCGGTTTACCAACATAACAAACATAAACAACATCATAAAACGCGGGTGTTTTGACTGAAAGTGTTATCTACGTTTCAAAAAGTGTAATAAATATTTATATTGAAAAGATTTCAGAGATATAATGAAGATCTCTAAGCTATCATAAGTTCGTTATATTTTACGTATAAATTTGAATCGCATGTAAGGTATATATTTTTTGTAAATAATAAAAAATCGGAACAATGTTCAGTCCCTACATTTACGATTTTAATACTACAAAATAGATACGTCTAAATAATGATTGTATTTATGTATTTGTAAAAAAGATATTAGGTTTTCGTTTGACAATATAGCTACCCGGTTTGTATCATTACTTTCTCGGCAGCGGCGCCAGTGTGATCGCACCGGTGTCGGTGTTACTATAGACTATACATACCTACAGTATTGTACATACGTAGTGTAAAGATGGCGTCGACGGTGTGTGTTTCTCGATGCCGACTGTTAGCTAAATTAGAAATAAATCGTGGTTTGTGTTTATCACCGATATTTAGGGATTTGTCGAATAGCAGGGTAAGTGTTTAATGTTTTTCTTATATTTAATCACGTATATCGTTAGTGTTTCATTTAAAATTGACGATTCAGAGACCGATTTTTGTATGCACGTGCATATCTATTCTATAGTTATGTAGATAGCAGCTGTCAAACGTCAAAAAATTTGTGTTTATTTTAATTTACGGTTATCATTTTTTTATTGATAACCACAAAAGGTGTATTTTTTGAGTTTGATAACTTAACATAGGTAATGAAATTGTATCAGTTATTAAATATGCATGTGTTACTATAATATTATACCTGTTATGCAAGTCAACGATAAATAACGATAAATCGTTGAATAAACTTGTTAAATATTATAACTAGTAGGTACACACTAATTTCGTTGACACCACAAAGTGTTATTTTCCACAAATAAATATTTCAATTGACACCATACCTATTTAAAAACCAGAGGACACAATATAAATAATTATTTTGGATATTCAATAATCATAGCAATCGATGTTTGTACGCTAATTAGAAATTCTTTCGTATTTAAAATGTTCCAAGATTCCAATGTGACTATGACCAGTATCATCTTTCTTAATTAACTACGATATTGTTTTGTTTGTATACTGGAGCCACAGATAAGAGAACAAAATATTTCTCTTTTATTGGTCGTAAAGATGCAGAATAAAGGTTGGTGATAAAGAGTCATAGGATTATCTCATTTTCTTGAATTTAGTATGAAACTTACTTTAAACTACTTAGGAACACCTTTGTAGTTTCCTGAGCCGACTTATTATATTTTATGAAAATAATAGATGATGGCATTTTTTACTTACTTTCTGTCACAAAAATTTATACGCTTATTGATTGATAGAAGTGGTGCGTAAATAACGTTAACCTATTTGTTGTGATCTTCATCTCAATTGGGGCCCTTGAACTCTACTCAGTTATGTACGAGTTCCGTTATGTACAGTGTCCAGTAAATTCGACAGAATCACGCTCTGTAAAATGGTCACACTGTGAAGAAGCTGTAACTATTGAATCAAGTTTCTACCTACTCTTGTTTATCAATGAGCCGCCTAATTTACAAGGTCACGGTCAAGAACGTATCTATTTTATCGTAGATTAGGTATTAGATTAGCAACCTTAATAAATAGTAGGTAATCAATAAAAAATATTAAGTCGTCGAATTCATGATCGATACTCGACCTTATCGTTGATAGATTTCGATGTAAGTTCCAGTGATAACACAGTTATTTTAATCCAACAATAAATCTATGGTAGATACTCAACTGACAAACTTTGCGTACGTACTCGTGAATTTTGGCAGAATCAATGACTATACATATTTATTTTGTGGTTATTGCCATATAATAATAAGCCTTACCCCCTTAACTTACCATATACCATCATTTTATCATAGTGACCTAATTCTCTTAAGTTTTTAAGATCCCAAACCATCATTTTACAAAATTGCTAGCAGATGACTGTTACGAGATTCCACGGTAATTGAGGGGTGAGCGTTGGTCTGGGTGTCGCTCCCCAGGTAATAATAATTCCTATCCGGCTAGTTACGATTTACGAAGACCAGTATCATATAAAAGTACTTACGTAGAAAAAGGTCTTTACAGTAAAAACTCAACTTTACATCAGCCCACGTTCAGTTAAAGTTAAAATAAGAGATGGGCGATATTTCGGATATACACAAAATGGAAAAATACTGAGTAAAACTGGTGACGTATGCAGTTTTTGAAAAAATACTCGAATAAAGATGGATAAATACTCGATATTTATACATTTTCAGTATTTATCCGAAATATCGCTTCAATACAAAGTTAAGTTGTAATCTCCAATTCTGTATTTTACCGATGTTCACAAATTAGTACCTAACACGAAGCTTGCGAATTAGTTGTTCACGTTGGTAAATAATTTATAACTTATTCTGACGTCTTTTAAGTATTGTTAACCTGTACCTGAGATGTCTTTTAGAATATGTATTGAATTAGGCGTTGAAAACTAGTTTCTGAACAGGCAGAGATATTCTGTTCCATAACTATGAATGATCATAAAAAATGTCTCCTTTTCCTTTTGACGGAATGCGGTAGTTATACTTTTTTGTGTTAGTTTCCAGTATTTCTGAAGATGATCAATATCTACGTAGGTTATTTTAAAAGCATCACGGATATGACGTATCCTATTCGTCATGATCAGACCGTGAGATGACGAATTTCTTAGTTACTCGGTATTTTTTCTAACTGAATCACTGCTTAACGTTCGAATCTGATACGTATATGAACAGCTGTATAACTGATGCAAAGCGTTAATGAAAGACAATGAAGTGTTTGTTTAATTGCAACACTATAAATAGATATCTAATCTATCTATTTCTATTTTGTATATTGTCGAGCGAACTTCGGTCTATAATTACTGGATGTTTATCATTAACTAAGCCATTTTCCGTGTACAATCTCTGTTGCTGGAAATGGATGAATAAACCCATGTGGATTAAATACTTTGTTAGACCGGTTTGACTGACTATAAAGGTCCTTTTAAAATGTATGACGTGCGAGAGATTCAGTGGGACGGGACGAAATACATAAAAAATGCGAGTTACATTGCAAAGGGGGCAATGACCAACTGACTGGTCTATGGATGGATCGAATATGATATAACGAACGTGAAAGTATATTTGTTAGTAGCTTATTTCCATTAACCATGACCTGCACTAATATACAGGTATATATACTTATTATGTATTTTAAATACGTCATATACGCTGAAATACTCAAACTTCACTCAATTTTAAGTCGCGTTCTGTTACTGCTGATACTGCTAATACTATGTAAAATGACAGAGATGGCATGATATTTAAGTTCAACTTAAAGTTGAGTAGCCTCTCAGTATTCGGGCGATAGTTACTTATACCAAGCTGCAGTGAGTTAATATAAATAAATAATATGATGTCAGAATGCAAGCATGTAATTTAGTTTTACCTACAATATTTTTACATATTTTCCTTGTAGTTTATGGTGTTGCTATATTTGAAACATCGAATTCGTAAATCAGTTACTTCCTCTTGATATATTGTATCGTAATAGGTATTCGGTAGATGCCATTGTGGAGAGCTGAGTTGAGGCTGAAACAATCGTTGGACTTGGAAAATTATTGCAACCGACTAAATTACTAGACGATCATAATTGCGCAGTTTAATTATTGGATCCGATAAAGTGGTTTTGGCGTTTGCTTTTCTTTAATATTTACGATTTTATTTATGACGTGTCGGCTTGTTGCCAAGTGGGATGCGTGCATACTGCATGCATAATAATGACAGTGCGTTCCCTTTGTCCTGTATTAGCTTGATAAGAATGTAAAAAAGACGACTCAAGTCAAAATGGCTTCTATCTTTATAAAATAACATTAAAGTTCACATCATTAACCTTTAAACTGTTATATAATGACAACATAATTTTAACAATGTGTAAGGAAATAATTTAAAATACGTTTATCACAAATTGTTTAGTTTATCACAAAATAAACTCTGTGAAAAACATAACAAGGCGTGAATTTAAAGCATTTTTATTTAAGTGTGATGGGACTTCTTGTGTACAAAGACTATTTTACTAAGAAAAAGAATTTAAAAGCGTGATTCATACAAACAAATGCATGCCATCAAGGTTATGTTGTAGTCACAATCAATTCACGGGTCGTTGACCTGAAACCTGCCGGTTGTGTACTGGTTCATTCGATAAAAAGGCCAACGCATCTATCAATCTTATCTACAGACCTACATTTCTCTACGAACAGAAGTTAGACGCTAAAGTTTCGATTTCTAGAGGTAGTGGACCTTACATCTGGATTTACACTTGTATTTTTTAGATTAATGCCTCTTACTCATCATTTAGGTTATCTTTGTGGTGTTTGGTGCATATTATTCATGGTTTTTACCGACTTCATGACTTATCTTGTTCTGTGTGTACAGTAATTTTCATACTGATCTTTACTGTTTAAAAGATGATGACATTATTTTGACACATATGTTAATAACTAATCAGAAATGCATTGTTTTGGTTTTAAAAGTACCCATTTCGAGATAGTTTTAACTTTTAAGTGCCCAAATTGTCACTTGAGTTAGATACTTAAGGACGCTAAAT